GTATTGTGGGCGGGTGTTGGTGGGTGGGTGTGTACGGGTGTGGGTGGGTGTGGATGGGTATGGGTGAATGGGTGTATTGTGGACGGGTGTGGTGGGGGTGGGTGGTTAGGGGTGCGTGGGTGGATGGAGGGGGAGTGCCAGGGATTTTATCGAAAAAAATAAACAGTCCCAAAAAATGCTTGAAAAGAATAATTGTTTCAGGCTCTTGACAAAGAAGACATAATTATTGTCAGCCACAAAATATGCTTAGTGGCAAGAGGTTTTTAAAAATAAAATGTTCATAGTTTTTATTTTTAAACATATCTGGTGTTACAGCTGTAGCTGAAACAATGCCAATGGCTGTCTTCCTGTCTGGTGACGCGTGCAACCTCCGACCTCGGACGTATTCTGTTTGCATGTTATCGTGATTTGAAACCTCTAATTATGTTCGTTTGTCAAGGTAGACTAATCTTTACCTTTACCATGGGCACCGATGTGTTGCTTCTTATTACCCTAAAATTTAGGCCTTTGATAGAGTCAGTGATCTTGTTCACTGTAGTCCCGCGACTCCTCCGGGGAGAATATAAATCACCGGTACCCATGTTTGTCCCACAAAAATCAGATGGCTGATTGTGCGATATCGTAAATCGTCGGAAAGTGGCTTGCTATACACATAGGGACTGCCTGTACACAGGTAGTCTTATATACATTGCTTAGAGTGGCGTAAATATCTTGCACCCAAACACACATGATAGATTAAACTCGATGCTTTAACATCAAGGTCGTACTGCATGCACGTGGTCTGAAGGTGGTGGTGCAAGCACGTGGTGTCAAGGTGGTACTCCATGCACGTGGTGTCACGTTGGTACTAGAAGCAAGTGGTCTGAATGTGGTACTCCATGCACATATTGTCAAGCTGGCACTGCATGGACGTGGTATAAAGGTGGTACTGCATGCACATATTGTCAAGCTGGCACTGCATGAACGTGGTATGAAGGTGGTACTGCATGCACGTTATGTCTTGGTGGTGCTGCAGGCACGTGATCTGAATGTGATACTGCGTGCATACGTGCTCCTGCATGAACATGGTGTCAAGGTGGTACTGCGTGCATGTGATTCGAAGGTGCAACTGCATGCACGTGGTCTGAATGTGGCACTGCATGTACATGGTGTCAAGGTGGTACTGCATGCACGTGGTGTCAAGGTGGTACTGCATCCACGTGGTGTAAAGGTGTACTGCATGCACGTGGTGTCAAGGTGGTACTGCATGCACGTGGTCCCGAATGTGATACTGCATGCACATATTGTCAAGCTGGCACTGCATGCACGTGGTCTGAAGGTGGCACTGCATGTGCATGGTGTCAATGTGGTACTGCATCCACGTGGTGTCTAGGTGGTACTGCATGCACGTGGTCTGAAGGTGTCACTGCATGTGCATGGTGTCAATGTGGTACTGCATCCACGTTGTGTCTAGGTGGTACTGCATGCACGTGATGTAAAGGTGGTACTGCATGTACGTGGTGACAAGGTGGTACTACATGCACGTGGTGTAAATGGGTACTACATCCACGTGGTGACAAGGTGGTACTACATGTACGTGGTGTCAATGTAACACTGCATCCATGATGTGTCAAGGTGGTACTGCATGCACGTAGTGTCAATGTGGTACTGCATGCACGTGGTGTAAAGGAGTACTACATGCACGTGGTGACAAGGTGGTACTACATGCACGTGGTGTCGATGTTGAACTGCATGCACGAGGTGTCAAGGTGGTACTGCATGCACGTGGTGTAAAGTGGTACTACATGCACGTGGTGACAAGGTGTTACTACATGCACGTGGTGTCAAGGTGGTACTGCATTTACGTGGTGACAAGGTGGTGCTGTTTGCACGTGGTGTCAAGGTGGTACTACATGCACGTTGTGACAAGGTAGTACTGCATGCACGCGGTGACAAGGTGGTACTACATGCACGTGGTGACAAGTTAGTTCTGCATGCACGTGGTGTAAAGGGGGTACTACATGCACATGATGACAAGGTGGTACTGCATGCACGCGGTGACAAGGTGGTACTACATGCACGTGGTGACAAGCTAGTTCTGCATGCACGTGGTTTCAAGGTGGTACTGCATTTACGTGGTCTGAAGGTGGTGCTGTATGCACGTGGTGTCAAGGTGGTATTGCATGCACGAGGTGACAAGGTGGTACTGCATGCACGTGGTGACAAGGTAGTACTACATGCACGTGGTGTCAAGGTGGTACTGCATTTACGTGGTCTGAAGGTGGTGCTGTATGCACGTGGTGTCAAGGTGGTACTGCGTGCATGTGATGTAAAAGTGGTACTACATGCACGTGGTGCCCAGGTGGTACTGCATGCACGTGATGTCAAGGTGGAACTGCATGCATGTGATGTTAAAGTGGTACTACATGCACGTGATGTCCAGGTGGTACTGCATGCACGTGATGTCAAGGTGGTACTGCATGCACGTGGTGTCCAGGTGGTACTGGTGCACTTGGTGACAAGGTAGTACTACATGCACGTGGTGACAAGGCGGTACTACATGCACGTGGTGACAAGGCGGTAATACATACACGTGGTGACAAGGCGGTACTACATGCACGTGGTGACAAGGCGGTAATACATACACGTGGTGACAAGACGGTACTCAATGCACGTGGTGTCAAGGCGGTACTACATGCACATGGTGACAAGGTGGTACTGCATGCACGTGGTGTCAAGGTGGTACTGCATGCACGTGGTGTCAAGGTGGTACTACATGCACGTGGTGTCAAGGTGGTACTACATGCACATGGTGTCAATGTGGTACTGCATGCACGTGGTGTAAAGGGGTACTACATGCAAGTGGTGACAAGACGGTACTACATGCACGTGGTGTCAATGTGGTACTGCATGCACGTGATGTAAAGGGGTACTACATGCACGTGGTGACAAGGTGGTACTACATGCACGTGGTGTCAATGTGGTACTGCATGCACGAGGTGTCAAGGTGGTACTGCATGCACGTGGTGTAAAGGTAGTACTGCATGCACGTGGTGTCAATGTGGTACTGCATGCACGAGGTGTCAAGGTGGTACTGCATGCACGTGGTGTAAAGGTAGTACTGCATGCACGTGGTTTACAAGGTGGTACTACATGCACGTGGTGTAAAGGGGTGCTACATGCACGTGGTGACAAGGTGTTACTACATGCACGTGGTGTAAAGTGGTACTACACGCATGTGGTGACAAGGTGTTACTACATGCACGTTTTGTAAAGGGGGTACTACATGCACATGTTGACAAGGTAGTACTACAAGCACGTGGTGTCAAGGTGGTACTGCATTTACGTGGTCTGAAGGTGGTGCTGTATGCACGTGGTGTAAAAGTGGTACTACATGCACGCGGTGTCCAGGTGGTACTGCATGCACGTGATGTCAAGGTGGTACTGCATGCACGTGGTGTCCATGTGGTACTGCATGCACGTGATGTCAAGGTGGTACTGCATGCACGTGGTTTCAAGGTGGTACTGCATGCACGTGGTGTCAATGTGGTACTGCATGCACGTGATGTCAAGGTGGTACTGCATGCACGTGGTGTCAATGTGGAACTGCATGCACGTGGTGTCAAGGTGGTACTGCATGTACGTGGTGTCAAGATGGTACTGCATTTACGTGAAATCAAGGTGGTTTGTTTGTTTGTTTGTTTTTGTTTGTGATTTAACGCCGCACTCTGGACCAGATAATACTGTGATTAATATCATGAGAACAGACCTACGTTGGGAATCCGATCCCGTTAGTCGCCGTTAGTCGCCTCTTACGACAAGCGTTAGTTGACCTATTCTAACCCGGATCTTCACGGTTCAAATCAGGATGGCATCGACCAGGAAGATTTTTTTCCGATTAATCCGACACCTTGACATGACGTGAAATTACAAGATTCCGTATGTGTAGATTTGTTGGGTTTTTGTTGTTGTTGTTATGTTGTTGTTTTTGTTTATTTTGTGTTGTTTTGTGTGTGTTTGTGTGTTTGTGTGTTTCGTGTGTTTCGTGTTTTTCGTGTAAATGCTATTTAAATATACTGGTACATAAGAAATGACACTTTCACTGTTCCGTGTATTGTTATTCCTTTCTTGAAATAAGTGGAAAGTCGGTAGTTTTTGGAGGTGTCCAAGTCTCTAACTTGACACGAAAGATCTGTTTTTATTGAAAGCAATTCCTAAATATGTATAAGAATCTGTTATTTCGATTATTTTATTTCCAAATCAAAAGTCAAGTTTACTTTTCCTGAAGGTGCCAGAACCAAAGATTACTATCAGTCACTGAAGAGGGAGGTCAGGGTGACCCTCAGAAATATTTACTGTTTTTTTTTCAAAATATAAGAAAGACTTTTCAACATCACGTTCAGTAAGTGCCGAACAAGTCTAACCTGTTTGAAAGATTCAACGATCCATCACCCAAGCCAAAACATCAGTATTTTCTTCAATCAAAGCCAAAGCCTCAACATCCAATTCTTTTCCTCAACCAGGTAGGTTATCAAACTCGTTAGAAATACACACATTGTAAGAAAAACGGTGTCTGACGGATGCTTGTGTTGTAATCTATATACTCTCAAAGGGCGAGAAATAAAAGTCACTATTATTGTTACTGTAACATACGGATGTAAGAAATGTCCATGTTTCATTTGCAGTCAGCCCATCCCTAATGTGAAAAGTCTGCAGGGATGTGAAATCTCCGTGGAAACGCGGAACATCGCGGTCTCACCTTGTATATGCACCCGGAACAAGTGTATATATGGTGCAATGTATGCATTACCAGCTAACGAGGAAGCACACTTTCAGTAACGATAACCACGGCGATAACCCCGAACAGTTGTACAGGTGGGAACAACATGTTGATATATGTTGGGGTTCTTGTGTGTCACGACCGGGTTGGCAGCATCCTGTTTGCAATGTGTGAAAGTACATTATGATGATGGTGTCGTACATATTGATTTATATCAAACATATTCCAGTCCATCCCTATAAAACAGCACACAGAGTGAACCGAGACAGTGCCGAACTCTGGAACAAGTCGCCATGGCTGCCTGTTTGCGCGTGCTGACAACCCTCGTCCTCCTTTTGGCGCTTTCAACCTCAACCAGCGGCTGGTTCTTCAGGAGAATCAAACTACACGATACCAAGAAGTAAGTTCACTTAGTTACCAATGGTGCTCCAGGAAAGCTGGTGTAATATCTATCGACAAATATATATTAATTGTTGTCCTACATGTTTCAGTTATATTTCCCTTAAGACAGGAGCTGCAGGAGAACAAGTTATGTGTTGTCATTATTGCATGAATTCCTTCACATGTGTTGTTGTACACTAGTAAATCTCACCTCCTTAAGCTTATATACAGTATGCCGGGTTTAATATCTATATACATCTATATAGGGTGGCTTTCTTTACATCCAGAGGTTCGAAATGTGCCGGATTTAGGCGTTTCTTCATGAGGGATTTAAACCATAGTAGCCCCCAATATTTAATATGTATGAAACTACAGAAAATAATTATTTCTAAAAACTTCATTTGGGTTACTAAATTTCTCCAGAAAATACAAAACTGCCTTTTCGTCACGGATACTTTGGTGTTTTTTTGTAAGGAACTCTTGACAACAGCATTATAATATTCCATAAGAAAACTGCATATCAAAAAGTAGTGTTCCCAATGCGTTCATTACTCTCATGGAGGCACGGGTGTCTAGGGCGCCGCCATTCGCTGTGCGTCCCTTAGGCACGCCAGAAACCTATGACATTTTGGAACTTTTAAGTTATTTCCGAGTGGCCTTATTTCTTTTTAAGAGAACAGTACACATGAATTATATGATACAGTACACATGATAGGAAGAATATGAACGAAAACACGTTGACATATCTTGAAACTGGAAGCTCTCACGAGTTAAAACACCAGCTGAATCCCCACCATGTGTCCCGGGAAATGTAGACACTAGTGTTAACCCTGCAATAATTCTGCACAAACACGTTTAACGTAGACTACAGATCAGCACTAATCTGGCCGTAGGAAATGATGACCTGGAGGGTTTCCAAAAATGGGTCAGTTTTTAAAAATAAGTGCATAAAAATATTATACACCTTTTTATCAGTACATTCTAATATAACAAAAATTATATGTACGCATTTCTTCACTGCAACAATTCTTTGACCAAACTCACAATTCCAACACGGCATACTTGTCTGTGTCTACATCTCGCCTAGAGCGGTATTTCAGCGCACAGCGTCCAATTGGCATCCTTTGCTTATCGTGTGTTAATGTTGCGAATGAAATGACGCCCTACACCAAGTAGAAATCTCAATTAAGCGCGTACTAACGTATATGTATTTCATTGTTCCAAGTCTGCTTCCCCGTGTCTCTCCAGACAGTTTCCCAGTCTCTCGTCAGACTCAGTTGACGGCCTGTAAACCTCCAGTGACCCCATCCCCGTGTCTCTCCAGACAGTTTCCCAGTCTCTCGTCAGACTCAGTTGACGGCCTGTAAACCTCCAGTGACCCCATCCCCGTGTCACTCCAGACAGTTTCCCGGTCTCTCGTCAGACTCAGTTGACGGCCTGTAAACCTCCAGTGACCCCATCCCCGTGTCACTCCAGACAGTTTCCCAGTCTCTCGTCAGACTCAGTTGACGGCCTGTAAACCTCCAGTGACCCCATCCCCGTGTTACTCCAGACAGTTTCCCGGTCTCTCGTCAGACTCAGTTGACGGCCTGTAAACCTCCAGTGACCCCATCCCCGTGTCACTCCAGACAGTTTCCCGGTCTCTCGTCAGACTCAGTTGACGGCCTGTAAACCTCCAGTGACCCCATCCCCGTGTTACTCCAGACAGTTTCCCAGTCTCTCGTCAGACTCAGTTGGCGGCCTGTAAACCTCCAGTGACCCCATCCCCGTGTTACTCCAGACAGTTTCCCAGTCTCTCGTCAGACTCAGTTGACGTCCTGTAAACCTTCAGTGACCCCATCCCCGTGTTACTCCAGACAGTTTCCCAGTCTCTCGTCAGACTCAGTTGACGGCCTGTAAACCTCCAGTGACCCCATCCCCGTGTTACTCCAGACAGTTTCCCAGTCTCTCGTCAGACTCAGTTGACGGCCTGTAAACCTCCAGTGACCCCATCCCCGTGTTACTCCAGACAGTTTCCCAGTCTCTCGTCAGACTCAGTTGGCGGCCTGTAAACCTCCAGTGACCCCATCCCCGTGTTACTCCAGACAGTTTCCCAGTCTCTCGTCAGACTCAGTTGACGTCCTGTAAACCTTCAGTGACCCCATCCCCGTGTTACTCCAGACAGTTTCCCAGTCTCTCGTCAGACTCAGTTGACGGCCTGTAAACCTCCAGTGACCCCATCCCCGTGTTACTCCAGACAGTTTCCCAGTCTCTCGTCAGACTCAGTTGGCGGCCTGTAAACCTCCAGTGACCCCATCCCCGTGTTACTCCAGACAGTTTCCCAGTCTCTCGTCAGACTCAGTTGACGGCCTGTAAACCTCCAGTGACCCCATCCCCGTGTTACTCCAGACAGTTTCCCGGTCTCTCGTCAGACTCAGTTGACGGCCTGTAAACCTCCAGTGACCCCATCCCCGTGTCACTCCAGACAGTTTCCCGGTCTCTCGTCAGACTCAGTTGACGGCCTGTAAACCTCCAGTGACCCCATCCCCGTGTTACTCAAGACAGTTTCCCAGTCTCTCGTCAGACTCAGTTGGCGGCCTGTAAACCTCCAGTGACCCCATCCCCGTGTTACTCCAGACAGTTTCCCAGTCTCTCGTCAGACTCAGTTGACGTCCTGTAAACCTTCAGTGACCCCATCCCCGTGTTACTCCAGACAGTTTCCCAGTCTCTCGTCAGACTCAGTTGACGGCCTGTAAACCTCCAGTGACCCCATCCCCGTGTTACTCCAGACAGTTTCCCGGTCTCTCGTCAGACTCAGTTGACGGCCTGTAAACCTCCAGTGACCTCATCCCACTGTCCTTTCATCTCATAAAATCCCAACTTGTGTAAAGTTAAGTGTGGAGGACATTTACAATTTGACGCATCCGGTGACAAAAATTTCCGATGCAATTTTCTATTTTATCTTGTACCATGTGTTCGGGTGTTTTTCAGGTGAACAATTGACTTGCCTTTGCATGTGCTTGTGACGGGTGTCCCTTGTGGTGTAGGATTCGCGAACACCTGGTACCATCGCTATTTGATAATGATTCATGATATAGTCGGAATCGTACAACGGACTTTTTGTAGAGGTTTTTGTCGCTTTTATTCGGGCTTAACGATACTAGCTTCAAACTGGCGATTTCTATTCCAGACTTGGCTTTGAAAAATATTTCCCATTGATGCGAGAGATAGACGATGATTTGACGGTCGTACAGCTTGTAACTATCGTTCGGAATAACTCGTGTTAACCTTTTCGAGGTTGGATGATTAGAAACACATTCCCACTGTCATTTTTGCGATTTCTAATCGACTCTCCGATTGGCCGTTTGAAACATTCGTTCTCATGTGACCTGTAACTGGATGTCCTAAGATCTTTGTGTAGTGGTAGCGAGCACCAAGATCTGATTGTAATGTGATGGAAGAAAATGACACTCCCACGAGACACTCTCACTGAGAGTTGCATCTGACCTTGCAGTGCCCGTACTTTACAGGTTCTATGTGTTTCGCTGTTTCATTGGTTACATTGTTTCTGTTGGTTCTTTGTTTCTGTTGTTACATTCTTCAAGTTGATTCGTTGTTTCTGTTGGTTCGATGTTTCTGTTGAATCGTTGTTTCTGTTGTTGCACTTTTTCTGTTGATTCGTTGTTTCTGTTGTTACATTGTTTCTGGCGATTTGTTGTTTCTGTTGTTACATTGTTTCTGTTGTTAGATTGTTTCTGTTGTTACATTGTCTCTGTTGGTTCGTTTTTTCTATTCATTCATTGTTTTCGTTGTTGCATTTTTTTTCTCTTGGTTCGTTGTTTCTGTTAAATCGTTGTTTCTGTTTTACATTGTTTCTTTTGATTGGTTGTTTCTGTTTTTAGATTGTTTCTGTTGGTTCGTTGTTTCTGTTGTTACATAGTTTCTGTTGATGCCTTGTTTCTGTTGTTACATTTTTTCTGTTGATTCGGTGTTTCTGTTGTTACATAGTTTCTGTTGATTCGTTGTTTCTTTTGTTACATAGTTTCTGTTGATGCGTTGTTTCTGTTTTACATTGTTTCTGTTGATTCGCTGTTTCTGTTTTTAGATTGTTTCTGTTGATGCGTTGTTTCTGTTGTTACATAGTTTCTGTTGGTTCGTTGTTTCTGTTGTTTCTGTTGATGCGTTGTTTCTGTTGTTACATTGTTTCTGTTGATTTGGTGTTTCTGTTGTTACATAGTTTCTGTTGATGCGTTGTTTCTGTGGTTACATAGTTTCTGTTGATGCGTTGTTTCTGTTTTACATTGTTTCTGTTGATTCGTTGTTTCTGTTGTTACATAGTTTCTATTGATTCGCTGTTTCTGTTGTTACATAGTATCTGTTGATGCGTTGTTTCTGTTTTACATTGTTTCTGTTGATTCGCTGTTTCTGTTTTTAGATTGTTTCTGTTGGTTCGTTGTTTCTGTTGTTTCTGTTGATGAGTTGTTTCTGTTGTTACATTGTTTCTGTTGATGCGTTGTTTCTGTTGTTACATAGTTTCTGTTGATGCGTTGTTTCTGTTGTTACATAGTTTCTGTTGAATCGTTGTTTCTGTTTTACATTGTTTCTTTTGATTCGTTGTTTCTGTTGTTTCTATTGATTCGGTGTTTCTGTGGTTACATAGTTTCTGTTGATGCGTTGTTTCTGTTTTACATTGTTTCTGTTGATTCGTTGTTTCTGTTGTTACATAGTTTCTTTTGATTCGCTGTTTCTGTTGTTACATAGTTTCTGTTGATGCGTTGTTTCTGTTGTTACATAGTTTCTGTTGAATCGTTGTTTCTGTTTTACATTGTTTCTGTTGAATCGTTGTTTCTGTTGTTACATTGTTTCTATTGATTCGTTGTTTCTGTTCTTGCACTGTTTCTGTCGAGTTGTTGTTTCTGTGGTTACAAAGTTTCTGTTGGTACGTGGTTTCTGTTGATTCGTTGTTTCTGTTGTTACAAAGTTTCTGTTGTTACAAAGTTTCTGTTGGTACGTTGTTTCTGTTGTTACCTTGTTTCTATTGATTCGGTGTTTTTGTTGTTACATAGTTTCTGTTGTTGCACTTGTTCTGTGTTGTATCCTTTCTGTTGATTTGTTGTTTATGTTGTTACATTGTTTCTGTTGATTTGTTGTTTCTGTTGTTACACTGTTTCTGTCGATTTGTTGCTTCTGTTGTGACATTGTCTCTGTTGGTACGTGGTTTCTGTTGATTCGTTGTTTCTGTTGTTACAAAGTTTCTGTTGGTACGTTGTTTCTGTTGTTACATTGTTTCTTTTCATTCGTTGTTTCTGTTGTTATATTGTTTCTTTTGATTCGTTGTTTCTGTTTTTAGATTGTTTCTGTTGGTTCGTTGTTTCTGTTGTTTCTGTTGATTCGTTGTTTCTGTTGTTACATTGTTTCTGTTGGTTCGTTGTTTCTGTTGTTTCTGTTGATGCGTTGTTTCTGTTGTTACATAGTTTCTGTTGAATCGTTGTTTCTGTTTGACATTGTTTCTGTTAATTCGTTGTTTCTGTTATTACATAGTTTCTGTTGAATCGTTGTTTCTGTTTTAAAATGTTACTGTTGATTTGGTGTTTCTGTTGTTTCATAGTTTCTGTTGAATCGTTGTTTCAGTTTTACATTGTTTCTGTTGAATCGTTGTTTCTGTTGTTATATTGTTTCTATTGATTCGTTGTTTCTGTTCTTGCACTGTTTCTGTGGAGTTGTTGTTTCTGTTGTTACATTGTTTCTGTTGTTACAAAGTTTCTGTTGGTACGTGGTTTCTGTTGATTCGTTGTTTCTGTTGTTACAAAGTTTCTGTTGTTACAAAGTTTCTGTTGGTACGTTGTTTCTGTTGTTAGATTGTTTCTTTTGATTCGTTGTTTCTGTTGTTACATAGTTTCTGTTGATTCGTTGTTTCTGTTGTTACATAGTTTCTGTTGTTGCGTTGTTTCTGTTGTTACATAGTTTCTGTTGATTCGTTGTTTCTGTTGTTACATAGTTTCTGTTGATGCGTTGTTTCTGTTGTTACATAGTTTCTGTTGAATCGTTGTTTCTGTTGATTCGTTGTTTCTGTTATTACATAGTTTCTGTTGAATCGTTGTTTCTGTTTTACAAAGTTTCTGTTGATGCGTTGTTTCTGTTGTTACATAGTTTCTGTTGAATCGTTGTTTCTGTTGAATCGTTGTTTCTGTTTTACATTGTTTCTGTTGAATCGTTGTTTCTGTTGTGACATTGTTTCTATTGATTCGTTGTTTCTGTGCTTGCACTGTTTCTGTCGAGTTGTTGTTTCTGTTGTTACAAAGTTTCTGTTGGTACGTGGTTTCTGTTGATTCGTTGTTTCTGTTGTTACAAAGTTTCTGTTGGTACGTTGTATCTGTTGTTACATTGTTTCCTTTGATTCGTTGTTTCTGTTGTTACATTGTTTCTTTTGATTTGTTGTTTCTGTTTTTAGATTGTTTCTGTTGGTTCTTTGTTTCTGTTGTTTCTGTTGATGCGTTGTTTCTGTTGTTACATTGTTACTGTTGATTCGTTGTTTCTGTTGTTACATTGTTTCTGTTGGTTCGTTGTTTCTGTTGTTGCACTTGTTCTGTGTTGTATCCTTTCTGTTGATTCGTTGTTTCTGATTGTTCGGTGTTTCTGTTGATTTGTTGTTTCTGATGTTACACTGTTTCTGTCGATTTGTTGCTTCTGTTGTTACATTGTCTCTGTTGGTGCATTCTTTCTATTCATTCATTGTTTCTGTTGTTGCATTTTTTCTGTTGATTCGTTGTTTCTGTTGTTGTATTCTTTCTGTTGATTCGTTGTTTCTGTTCTTACATTGTTTCTGTTGATTCGTTGTTTCTCTTGTTACATTATTTCTGTTGCGTCATTGTTTCTGTTGTTATATTGACACTCTGGGTTCGTTGTTTCTGTTGAATCGTTGTTCATGTTGTTAGATTGTTTCTCTTGGTTCTTTGTTTCTGTTGTTAGATTGTTTCTGATTGTTCGGTGTTTCTGTTGATTTGTTGTTTCTGTTATTACACTGTTTCCGTTGATTTGTTGCTTCTGTTGTTACATGGTCTCTGTTGGTTCGTTGTTTCTATTCATTCATTGTTTCTGTTGTTGCATTTTTTCTGTTGACTCGTTGTTTCTGTTGTTAGATTGTTTCTGTTGTTGAATTTTTTCTGTTGACACGTTCTTTCTGTTGTTAGATTGTTTCTGTTGTTACATTGTTTCTGTTTATTCGTTGTTTCTGTTGGTTCTGTTGATTTGTTGTTTCGGCTAATTCGTTGTTTCTGTTGTTGCGTTGGTTCTGTTGCTTCTGTTGTTGTATTCTTTCTGTTGATTCGCTGTTTCTTTTAATTCATTGTTCCTGTTGTTTTGTTGTTTCTGTTGCATTTTTTCTGTTGATTCGTTGTTTCTGTAGTTGTATTCATTCTTCGTTGTTGATGTTGTTAGATTGTTTCTCTTGATTCGTTGTTTCTGTTGTTACATTGTTTTTCTTGGTTTGTTGTTTTTGTTGTTGCATTGTTTCATTGTTTCTGTTTCGTTGTTTCATTGTTTCTGTTTCGTTGTTTCAGTTGTTTCTGCAAGGCTGTCAACAACCACAACTACGGACAAGTCTTGAAAGACTTTGGCTCCATCCAACACAGCCGGTGTTTTGTCCACTGTTCGTGCAGCTCCAAGGCACTCATCACATGTGGTACGGAGTGTGACCGGAAGGTCAAGGAGTGGGCGTGTGACCACGGGTGTGGTGGACTTTCGGCCGGTACAAAGGTCCGGGCATCCTACAAAGCCAGCGTGTGTAACACCGGAATTGCGGCAGACGTTTACGTTTGTGGCCAACAAAACAACTGTCATCGTGGCTAGGTGTCCCCAGCTCCAGTGTCTCTGACCGATGCTGATGTGGAACCGGAAGACCTGAAAAATAAAAGCAGTTAAATTGCAAATATCTTTTACTCATTTTTCAACAGTAGATCTGCTTACAATATGTGACCCGTGAAGATCCGGGGTAGAATAGGTCTTCAGCAACCCATACTTGCCGTAAAAGGCAACTATGCTTGACCAGAGAAGCGACTAACGGGGTCGGGTGGTCAGGTTCGCTGACTTGGTTGATGCGTGTCATCGTATCCGAATTGGGTGGATCGATGCTCATGATGTCAATCACTTGATTATCTGGTCCAGACTCGATTATTTACAGATCACCGTCATACAGCTAGAATATTGCTGAGGGGCGGCGTTAAACAACAAACAAAAACCAACCCGGACTCCCCACAACCATGTTCAGTTCCCCACGTTGCCACATCTGTCGCCAATTATTGGTCGTAAAACTGACTCACGCGAGATTCACACGAGATTCACACGAGACACGTTTGACACATAGAGGGCAAACCTAACTTCAATGTCAACTAGTGACCTTCACCTTGGATCACGAATGGTACTACTTGTGTGATGGAACATATTCTCTGGTTCCGTCTTCGTGACAGCTACTTATAAGAAACCCTTGTAGACATGGCGATTGTAGTGTAACATATATACATCTCATCTGACTGTGTTAGAGGTCTGCCATTCCCTCACAGTATTATCAGTGACAGAACTTGTATAATTCTCAGGAAACCTCTACCTCTATTACATCATTAGGGCAAGCCTGTATTTTGGCTGATATCACACACAAAACTAAACTTTCAAATTTTCAACAGAAGTCCTCTTCACTCTCAACTCTACATTATTAGTCGCATCCCTAATAGCACTTTAGACTACTACTTCCATGTGCAAAGGCGGGAAAACCGTCACTTCTTACTTGTATGTTCTCCCTTTAGTCCATGAGCCAGACCCCTGAAATTAATGTTTGTCTACCAAATAGAGGGACAAATTACCATTGTGGTTTTCAGATAGCCTGATGTCCATGCCACATGAAATCACGTGATGGACATCCCCTTGTCCAGCTAAATGTCATTTTGGCCGCCATTTTCAAGATGGCCGCCATTTTTAACAATTTGCTCCAAATTTCAGAAATAAGCATGAAAAACAGGGTTTACAATTCCTAGACAACTTTTTTTTAAATGAAATGTGTCAGGCAAAAATCTATTGGTTTTTTATATTTTTCATTATTCAAAGATATTACGAAATTTTAACTTCAATGTTATGACTTTACATAGCCTTAAAATTTTGTGATTGATCACAGTTGTTTGTTGCATTTGTAATAATTAGTGATCACAGAAATAACATTGTTTTCTTGCATTGAAAAGCTTGTTTTCCTTGCTCAAAATTTACACACAAATTTCTGAGTGCTGACCCAATGTGTGATGAAATCTCTGCATTTCATTTAATACAAAACAAAATTAAATTTTGCAGATATAACCATAATTAAAATAAACATTATCTGTATAAAACCCTGCAAGAATAAAAAAAAACAATATTTTGTTTCATATGAAGTTTAATTACTCAGAAATTGTGCAACACAAAAAATAATTCCCCATTAACATCTGAAACTACTGTCTGTTGTCAGTTAACCGATAAATACAATGCAGGACATTGTTGCTACTGTTACTGTTGACAAAGTAATAACGCCAAAGCACATTCTTCTTCCATGGGTAATCAAAACTCTGACAGGTAATGTTGAGCTGATCAAAACTTTAAATCACTTGGGACACTCTTGTTCATACTCAACCTTGGAGGAGATTGACACTGCGCTGTGTATTGACAAGATGGAACACGTAGACATTGATGAAGTACCTCTTCCAGCAAGCATCCATCAGTCTGTTCCAACTGTACTTGCTTTTGACAACATTGACAGACAAGAGGAAGTACGAAGTGGACCAGGGACATCACATTGTGTCAATGGCATAACAGTTTAGCCAACTTCTCTGACATGTATGCAACCCAGATCAATAACCAATGTGGACAAAAAGAAAGCGGCAAACAATTGAGCCTTCTGATCAACTACTTCCTACCTACACTGTGGGGAAAAGGGAAGGTCCACCAAAAATTGTGCCAGCTGACCTTTCTACTGAATTTGAAGTCGCAAAAACAGGTACACACCAGCAAAACTTACTCTGGAGTCTTGTCAGAATGCATGATCCAACAAATCAGACAATAAGTTCTTGGACAAGATATAACATAGTGACAAGAGATGACATGGAGGTATTCGCTGATACAGTTGGTTACTTGCCCACAATTTACACACTTGTAGCTGCTTCAACTCTAGCACTTATGTTGTCACACTATTTCTTGTCCGTTTCAGTTTAAGTAGTCAATTTTACTACTATATATTCTACGAGAAGTAGCTATTGGTTATATCTTGGGGACACATTTCACATGAGTATCAGTAGGTGTTTGGTGTGTTGTGATTTCTATAATGGTGTCTTCTGCTCCACCTTCCGCGTGTCAGAAGTGCGGCCGCTCTATGATCTCAGGGGACCCACACACTTCATGCTGGAAGTGCAGAGATATCAATTGCACTGAAGATCATCCAGGGAGGCCTTCTCCACAATATTAATGACTGATAACATCAATCAGGCCAGGAGAAAGAAAGCGGCAAAAAGGAAAGTGGACGCAATTATGTTGATTGACACGTCGTCAGCTACTCAAGACATCCCGACACTCCCTACGTCCCCCAAGACATCCCGACGCTCCCTACGTCCCCCAAGACGCCCTGACCCTCCCTACGTCCCCCAACACTTCCCGACACTCCCTACGTCCCCCAAGACATCCCGACACTCCCTACGTCCCCCAAGACATCCCGACGCTCCCTACGTCCCCAAAGACAGCCCGACACTCCCTACGTCCCCCAAGACATCCCGACACTCCCTACGTCCCCCAAGACGTCCCGACGCTCCCTACGTCCCCCAAGACATCCCGACACTCCCTACGTCCCCAAAGACAGCCCGACACTCCCTACGTCCCCCAAGACATCCCGACACTCCCTACGTCCCCCAAGACGTCCCGACACTCCCTACGTCCCCCAAGACATCCAGACACTCCCTACGTCCCCCAAGACATCCCGACCCTCCCTACGTCCCCCAAGACATCCCGACGCTCCCTACGTCCCCTAAGACATCCTGACACACTGATTTGGGACAACCTATGTCTGCAGAACATTTGATTCCAAAGGCTGATTACCCTGTAGCCATGACATGTATGTCTCCATAACTGAATTGTCATTATTTATAAGACACTAATCCCCGTTGTTAATCCTCACCAACATTTCATTGTATTTTGACTGTCAGTCAGCCTGGACTACCATATCACTTCCCATTAATTACTGATATTTGTAGTATGGCATTTATTGCCTTAATTGATCATCCCCTGAACTGTGTCGGTTCATCACACCCATAAGTCTCATGACCAGAGCAACGTCATTGTCTCTTCGTCTGTCCATTGTTGTCAATTACTATATATGTCTTACAATTACACTGTCAGTCAAACCCCACACCCCAACATATCGAACCACAGATCATTATACAACAACCCACACAACCTAGCACAAAACAACAAACCAAAACCACCAAAAAAAACCCTCCCCCAAACAAACCAAACACCCAATACTTTCACCAATAGACTCCATTTTAAAAAGGCTGACTGGCAAACATTTACTAAATTATGTAATCAAATAAACATCCATGACATCCATAACACAGCCAATGACATATTCAACACAAACCTTACCTCTACAATCCACAAAATAGGGATTCAAATTTAACACCCAAAAACCATTGGCTTACTTTTCAAAAACAGACACATGCCAAATTTAACAACCAAACTAACACTTAACAATGAAATTTTCACCTTAAAAAAAAGCAAAAGTCCTGGGAATCACTTTTGACCAACAATCAACCTAATGAGAGCCATCAGCAGCTCTGACTGGGGCGCTGACAAACAAACATTGCTTAACATATATAAAACACTTATCCAACCCAAAATAGACTATGCTGCTCCGGTCCTCCACTCTATCACAGAAAATCTAGAAAAAGAACTAAACACCATTCAATATAAAGCCCTCAAGACAGCCCTGGGGACTTGAACTGCTACCTCCCTCAATACACTCCAAATCATATCAGACATCACATCCATACAGGTAAGAATAACAATTTACAATACTCAATTACTGGGCTGGGGCCCAACATAACCCAATCTACAAACAAATCACCAACAAATACCTAAATCTAAGACCTGCAACACTCAAAAAGTTCAGAAACAACCACAACTTAGCCCCTATCTCACCCAGCTCTACAAACTCATGAAAACTCACAAACTAGAAAACATCAAACACACACCACTCACTAACACATATACAAATGATAAACCCCCACCTGAAACAGACACAACACTACATAAAACATTCATCAACCAACCCGAGCTCACAAACATCAGACAAAGCAACAATATCAAACAACTATATACAACAAAACTGTCCAAAACATATACACATATACACTGATGCTTCACAAACAAACAAAACATATACACTGATGCTTCACAAACAAAATATACACACATATACACTGATGCTTCACAAACAAACAAAATATACACACATGTACACTGATGCTTCACAAACAAACAAAATATACACACATATACACTGATGCTTCACAAACAAAATACACACACATATGCACTGATGCTTCACAAACAAACAAAATATACACACATATACACTGATGCTTCACAAACAAACAAAACATACACACATATACACTGATGCTTCACAAACAAACAAAACATACACACATATACACTGATGCTTCACAAACAAACAAAATATACACATATATACACTGATGCTGCACAAACAAACAAAATATACACACATATACACTGATGCTTCACAAACAAACAAAATATACACACATATACACTGATGCTTCACAAACAAACAAAATATACACACATATACACTGATGCTTCACAAACAAACAAAACATACACACACATACACTGATGCTTCACAAACAAACAAAACATACACACATATACACTGATGCTTCACAAACAAACAAAACATACACACATATACACTGATGCTTCGCAAACAAACAAAACATACACACATATACACTGATGCTTCATGAACAAACAAAACATACACACATATACACTGATGCTTCACAAACAAACAAAATATACACACATATACACTGATGCTTCACAAACAAACAAAACATACACACATATACACTGATGCTTCACAAACAAACAAAATATACACACATATACACTGATGCTTCACAAACAAACAAAATATACACATATATACACTGATGCTTCACAAACAATCAAAACATACACACATATACACTGATGCTTCACAAACAAACAAAACATACACACATATACACTGATGCTTCACAAACAAACAAAATATACACACATATACACTGATGCTTCACAAACAAACAAACATACACACATATACACTGATGCTTCACAAACAAACAAAATATACACACATATACACTGATGCTTCACAAACAAACAAAACATACACACATATACACTGATGCTTCACAAACAAACAAAATATACACACATATACACTGATGCTTCACAAACAAACAAAACATACACACATATACACTGATGCTTCACAAACAAACAAAATATACACACATATACACTGATGCTTCACAAACAAACAAAACATACACACATATACACTGATGCTTCACAAACAAACAAAATATACACACATATACACTGATGCTTCACAAACAAACAAAACATACACACATATACACTGATGCTTCACAAACAAACAAAACATACACACATATACACTGATGCTTCACAAACAAACAAAATATACACACATATACACTTATGCTTCACAAACAAACAAAATATACACACATATACACTGATGCTTCACAAACAAACAAAACATACACACATATACACTGATGCTTCACAAACAAACAAAATATACACACATATACACTGATGCTTCACAAACAAACAAAACATACACATATATACACTGATGCTTCACAAACAAACAAAACATACACACATATACACTGATGCTTCACAAACAAACAAAACATACACATATATACACTGATGCTTCACAACAAACAAAACATACACACATATACACTGATGCTTCACAAACAAACAAAATATACACACATATACACTGATGCTTCACAAACAAACAAAATATACACACATATACACTGATGCTTCACAAACAAACAAAACATACACACATATACACTGATGCTTCACAAACAAACAAAATATACACACATATACACTGATGCTTCACAAACAAACAAAACATACACATATATACACTGATGCTTCACAAACAAACAAAACATACACACATATACACTGATGCTTCACAAACAAACAAAATATACACACATATACACTGATGCTTCACAAACAAACAAAATATACACACATATACACTGATGCTTCACAAACAAACAAAACATACACACATATACACTGATGCTTCACAAACAAACAAAATATACACACATATACACTGATGCTTCACAAACAAACAAAACATACACATATATACACTGATGCTTCACAAACAAACAAAACATACACACATATACACTGATGCTTCACAAACAAACAAAATATACACACATATACACTGATGCTTCACAAACAAACAAAATATACACACATATACACTGATGCTTCACAAACAAACAAAACATACACACATATACACTGATGCTTCACAAACAAACAAAATATACACACATATACACTGATGCTTCACAAACAAACAAAATATACACACATATACACTGATGCTTCACAAACAAACAAAACATACACACATATACACTGATGCTTCACAAACAAACAAAACATAACAGGGCCAGGCATACAAGTCACTCAACTAGAACCAATCACCACAAACGTCCTATATACCAACTATACACACACTAACACAGCTGAACTACAACCATACAAGGTGCTTGCCATCAAACTAAACTATCTAATAAAAAAAAAAATTCTAATCATTTCAGACTCTTGAGGCTCAATAACCCATGCCAAATTCAAAACAAAAACTCAAAATCCTGTCCTGACATCATAAATAACATTATAGACATAAACTCCAAACCTTACAACAAACAACAAAACAATAACACTAATCTGGGTACCTGCACACGCTGACATACATGGAAACCAATCAGCAGATACAGCAGCCAAACTAGCATCCACACACCCATCCCCTTCAATTAACTTTAGTACTAGTAAAGCCGATATCAAATCACTTATTAGAAAAAGCATAAAAATCTCAATTTCCAAATTAATATTCAAAACTGTAAATCCACATGGATAAAGTCCCTATTGACTAAACCAGTCATAAAATTCCGCAATTTTACAAAGTCTATACTTTCGGATAAAATCATAAATAGAATATTCAGCGGCCAAGTTAACCTATATGAACAACTTAATAATCAAAACAGACTCCCACACTCAAACTGCACACATTGCAATACTCCAGAAAACCTAAACAACATCTTCAACCTCTGCCCCCAATCCAAACAACAACAAATAGAACTATACAACTCCCTTCCCCCACAATACAAAAAAAATATAATTCTACTACTACAACCTTGCAACGATACAGCCATATATTCACATATGGCAAAGTTTTTAAAAACAACAAGCCTACAAAACAGACTTTAGACCAGTCCCAACAAATTGCCAGCAACAAGCACAACAATTCCACATCTTTCAAGTTTCGGATCGGGATCGAAATTCTAAGCGTGGATTGTCTTCTAAGACAGAATAGGTCTTCAGCAACCCATGCTTGCCGAAAAAGGTGACTATGCTTGTCGTAAGAGGCAACTAACGGGATCGGGTGGTCAGGCTCGCTGACTTGGTTGAAGCATGTCATTGATCCCATCGATCGATGCTCATGATATTAATCACTGGATTGTCTGGTCCAGATCGATTATTTACAGACCGCTGTCATCTAGCTGGAATATTGCTGAGTGCGGCGTAAAACAACAAACCATCCAACGAAACTCAAGACACCATGGCTATGCTGCAGCGACTTTTTGCGCAGAAGTAATCCTCCATGGAAAATATACTCAGTCAAATTACACATTTTTAAAAGTAATCCAATATATGATATACAACGGACAAATGTATCAGAGAAGGTAATTGTTAATCATTAATGTCCAAAAAAGGATTTTAATTAACGGTGGTAACCATAATTTGTTCCAAGCACCTACGGTATTCGGTAATAACATCAACCGTTTAAATCACAAGTCCCAAGCACGAGAATCTGATGGCACACAAGTTCAGTAGGGTGTATGGCCACCATGTGCGTTGACAACTGCCACACAACGCCTCCGCATGGACCTTGTGATGCTTGTGAACGCCATTGTTGCTGCAAAATGGTGCCAAGATCTTGCAAATTCTGTGGTTGGTTCTGGAGAGTGCGCAGACTTCTGCCAAGAGCATCCCAGACGTGTTCGATGGGATTGAGGACGGGAGACCTTGACGGCCAGTCCATGATGTTGACTCCTGCATTCTGAAGGAAATTCCTTGTAAAAATTGCTGTGTGGGATCTGGCATTGTCGTGTTGGAAGATCGAACCGGGTCCATGTGCTGCCATAAAAGGCAGAAGTTCTGGTGCCAGTACCTGGTCGCGTTAAGCAGCAGCGTTGAGGTTGCCACGGATGACAAGAAGCCTGGAACGTGCATTGCCACAGAAAGCACGTGCACCCCACACCATGACACTTCCGCCTCGAAATCTGTCAACTTCCTGTACACAACACTGGGCGTAACGTTCATGACGGCGCCTCCACACCCTCGCCCTACCATCAGCAAATCGAAGATTAAATCGGGATTCATCACTGAAGACGACTTGATTCCAGTTCCTCTGAGTCCATCGTAAGTGTCGCTGTGCCCACAATTGACGTTGACATCTGTGTAATTGAGTCAGAATCGGCCCGCTGTATGGCCGTCGTGCTTGAAGGTGAGCAGTTCTCAGACGGTTTCGAACAGTTTGCGCACTCAGTCAACCCCTAAACAGTTCATTCCTGGTTGATGTAGCCGTCAAAAATCGGTTACGGAGGTGACGTAAGACAATCTGACGATCCTCTGCATGTGACCTCACGCGTCGTCGACCTGGCCGAGGGCGATCAGCGGTGGTACCCGTTTGCTGTAGATGTGTCTGTAAATCATAAACAGTCCTTCAACTACAACCCATAGTCCTTGCGACTTCAGCTACGGACGTTCCCGTCTGCAACATGCCGATGACACGTTCACGTTGCACATTTGAAAGGCGTGGCATGACAAATGGCCGTAAAGACTTTTGTTTTCTTGTGTTTTTCTTTTTCTGTTAATGACTGCTAACAAGTATGGCTGAAAACACGTGCGGTATTATGGCCACGTGACCAGTTGCACGTGAAAAAACACTTTTGCCACTATAGTGCTGTGCACATGATTTTGATCGATTCACCTACACAAAAACGGGTGTTATCTGAAGACAATAAGTGGCCATTACTGTTTAAATACACAATAAGGGCCCACAATGATAACTGGTCAAAATGTTAAAATTTTAGGATTCTGAAGTTTTTAATTTGGTTCATTATATTTTTGAATCCCGTTTGTCAACTTTGTCTACAGAACACACGCAGTAGTGAGTGAGTGAGTGAGTGAGTGAGTGAGTGAGTGAGTGAGTGAGTGAGTGAGTTGGGTTTAACGCCGCTCTTAACAGTATTCCAGTTATATGGGAGGAAAGCCCGAAGTGATGCAGGTCTCAGATGTTTACCACTTCGGTGAAACCAACGAGCACGGGTATGGTGCTGACAAACCTAGAAACATAATCGGGGCGAACCCACAATCTCACATTAAGCTGACACACTGTGATATAACTGGAATACTGTTAAAAGCGGCGTTACACCCACCAACTCACTCACTCATTCATCAATTCCAGTCGGAAATGACACCTACGCAAGACATCGTCTACATCGGAGCTTGTTTCATACTGAACACGGGATATCTCTCTCCTCTGGACATCACCAAGGCCCTGTCTCAGCCACGTCTTTCGATCTAATGGGGGATGTCCCTGCTCGGGAAATTAACCTCACTTCAGAATATGACTCACAGGGGCAGACTGCAGTTACGACCTCTTCAATCGTTGATCAGTGACGTACGGTACCTATATCTGGACACTCTAGTGTCCCTCCCAACATATCTATGTCCACAGACATGGTGGATAGGGAGCCCAAATGGATGATCTCGAGATCCAAGGCTCTTGCACTTCGACGGAGAAGAAGCTATCTTCAAGCACAAGATACTCCTATCCTGGCTTTTGTTCAGAGACTGAGACAAGAGCTCTGCACAATGCCTTCACTCACTTTTACCTAGGAGATGTGCACTTTAGGGGATAGTTTCATTAGCTCCACAGGCTGTAATTAGGCATAGGTTTTCCCTCCTTACATGAGGTGAGGATTTTACCAGCAGCTACTCAAAGTCAGTACACCTTTATTTAATAGCTCCAGAAGGACACCTCATATGTCCACATGTATCACCCAGTGACCGGAAATGACTTCACAATCGGAAGAATTGATACCAGAAGTGACGTCATAAATGACACAAAATATACCGGAAGTTGGACCGTAAGGGACGTCATTATGGCTTTTAGGAGACAGGAAATGAAATCTGGAATGGAAATGGCGTCATTTAGACCGGAAGTGGTTACACCTGTAAGAATGGGACCAGAGGTGACGTCAGTACCTAAATTAACCAGATAATGATGTCTAAGAAGGTTCTGGAGGCAATCACTGACAAAAATATCAGCAATATTACTTTAGTTTAAGTGAAGGTATCACATATTGTCTATTTATTCTATTGAACGATTTGAACAAGGATAACTATGAACACACAATACCCTTTAGAAAGTGGTCAAATGTAACAAATGTTATATTTGGGATAACACTTTCTTAGTAAAGTACAGATTCTCGTACTTTTTTGGGTTGAGTCCCGCATTCGGCCATGGGAGCCGTGCCAATTTACACTTGTTAGAGGGTTACACAAAGCATGTGATCTAGACTACCAGTTGTAGGACTTTCATTTTTGTGGAAGCCTCAGAGGCTGAGTGGGTTAGATCGCTGACTTTGTGTGCTAGCGATTAGGTGCTTCACGCTGGTGGTGTGGGTTTGAATCCTGGACGGGACTCAACCCAAAAAAGTACGAGAATCTGTACTTGGCTAAGAAAGTGTTATCCCAAATATAACATTTGTTACATTTGACCACTTTCTAAATGGCATTGTGTGTTCATAGTTATCATTGTTACTAATTCTAAAGATACTACGTCTGAACTTCTCCCTCCCACCTCCCAGAACATCTGTCTCCAGTGATTCATGTTTCCAAAGAAGAGAGGATTTTCCTGTCTTTGCACATGGAAGAGGTAGTCCAAAGTGCTATTACGGATACGAATAATAATGTATAGCTGACAGTGAAAATGTTTTGTGTGATTGCAGCCAAAATACAGGATTATGGCAAAGATGTTTTCGAGGTAGTATTCTTAGAATTATTAACAATGATAACTATTGTTTTGATATCCCAGTCTACTGTCTATTAACCTGATCTGAAGATGGTTCCTCTGAAATGTTAAATCAAACACTCAACACAACCTGGGCAAACCCAGTTGATCCTGGCACTGACAAGGGATGCAACTCTGCACAGCTTCCTGGCTTATCTATATGATCACTCAAGCAATGGGAAGTTTTAAAATAAATTTTATTCGTAACAACAAAAATAATTTTACCACACACACAAACAGGTTGATGTCACATGCTGATGCCAAAAAGCAAAGTAAATGAATGAATACACTATAGACCAAGACTAATGCACACACAAAAATCAATATATTCAACAAAACAGTCAATATAATTTCAGTCCTATTTCATAACAAATTGACTTTTTAATCATTAATTGTCCAGTGTTTGGTCCACCATGGCAACACAACGGGGTCCAGGAGAGATGTTGCATATTTGTGAAACCTGATGAAATAACTGTAAGCCATACTAGAGAATCAATGAGAATGAATCAAACTGCCTAATTAGCAAACTGTGTGTACATCAAAAAAGGGAAGTGTATTCAAGATAAAGATGTAAATTTTGTAACAAACAGTCCAAAGAACAGTTTAACCCATGGTGAGTTTGAGTCTAAAATCAGCCCAAGAACACATGAACCAGTTGCTGCTGATGCCATTGGTTGCTGCTGATGACAGTGGTTGCTTCTGATGACAGTGGTTGCTTCTGATGACAGTGGTTGCTGCTGATGACAGCGGTTGCTGCTGAGGTTGCTGATTAACACTTGAGTTTGTTGTTTGTTGGCTGGGCATGCCTGACTCAATCTGGACCAGCTTGTAGCAGTACAACACTACGTGGGGTAGTTGTTACTGCACCACTGACTTATCCAGAAACACCGCCTATCAGGCCACTTTTATGAAAAACACAAAACTAAGCTAAAACAATGTTCCATTTCTCCAGGAGCAGGAAGATAGATACACTACCTTTTCCGGCTAAAACAATGTTCCATTTCTCCAGGAGCAGGAAGATAGATACACTACCTTTTCCGGCTAAAACAATGTTCCATTTCTCCAGGAGCAGGAAAATAGATACACTACCTTTTCCGGCTAAAACAATGTTCCATTTCTCCAGGAGCAGGAAGATAGATACACTACCTTTTCCGGCTAAAACAATGTTCCATTTCTCCAGGAGCAGGAAAATAGATACACTACCTTTTCCGGCTAAAACAATGTTCCATTTCTCCAGCAGCAGGAAGATAGATACACTACCTTTTCCGGCTAAAACAATGTTCCATTTCTCCAGGAGCAGGAAGATAGATACACTACCTTTTCCGGCTAAAACAATGTTCCATTTCTCCAGGAGCAGGAAAATAGATACACTACCTTTTCCGGCTAAAACAATGTTCCATTTCTCCAGCAGCAGGAAGATAGATACACTACCTTTTCCGGCTAAAACAATGTTCCATTTCTCCAGGAGCAGGAAGATAGATACACTACCTTTTCCGGCTAAAACAATGTTCCATTTCTCCAGGAGCAGGAAGATAGATACACTGCCTTTTCCGGCTAAAACAATGTTCCATTTCTCCAGGAGCAGGAAGATAGATACACTGCCTTTTCCGGCTAAAACAATGTTCCATTTCTCCAGCAGCAGGAAGATAGATACACTGCCTTTTCCGGCTAAAACAATGTTCCATTTCTCCAGGAGCAGGAAGATAGATACACTACCTTTTCCGGCTACTTCCTCACCTTCTCTGCCCAAGAAGGTGAGCATCTGGCCAATAAACACAGGATCAGGTGCATTACAATCAACAAATACACAATAGTCATACTGCATTGATGAGAAAGAGAAACACAGAAGATACAATATTAACATGATCATGTTCATAAAAAATGATGAAATGAATAAATAAAATAAATTATAAAATAATTAACCCACCAAAAGAATAAGGAAAGAAAATGTTAAAAATCATAACAAAGGTCTGTTTAGATATCGCCATGGTCATGGTTTATTGTAAATAGGAGGACTATTGTATGTCAATGGTAGGGATATTATTTCAATGAAAGACACAGGAATGTCAGATAGGTCCCCACCAAAGCCTGAGTAGTTTATAGTCTGTCCTATCAAACCAAGTCATGAAATATACCAAATGCATGCACTACCCGTGCAGTCAGTTGTATGAGACACAATCAGATGAATACAATGAGACACTAGTGCTTACAGAAGTAACTGAAGCACACATAAAATCCCAACCCTTTCCCAAACAATTATCTGATTAGAAGCAACGATGTCAGACAATGTGAATTGTCACAGAGCAATGTCAAGATGTCACAGAGCAATGACTAGATGTCACAAAACATGTCACAATGGCAATGGCACACTACCACCACAGTACAATGGCACAGTATTCAGAACAATGACAGTCACAGAACATGGAACAAAAGAGAAATGCACTGCCCTAAAGTCTCCAAACAATAGTAATGTCACAGAGCATCGTATCACAGAACAATGGTAATGTCACAGATGGTAATGTCACAGAACAATGGTAATGTCTCAGAACAATGGTAATGTCACAGAGCATTGTATCACAGAACAATGGTAATGTCACAGAACATTGGTAATGTCACAGAACATTGTGCCACAGAACAATGGTAATGTCACAAAACAATGGTAATGTCACAGAACATTGTGCCACAGAACAATGGTAATGTCACAAAACAATTGTAATGTCACAGAACATTGTATCACAGAACAATGGTAATGTCACAGAACATTGTGCCACAGAACAATGGTAATGTCAGAGGACAGTGGTAATGTCACAGAGCATTGTGCCACAGAACAATGGTAATGTCATAGAACATTGTGTCACAGAACAATGGTAATGTCACAGAGCATTGTGTCACAGAACAATGGTAATGTCACAGAACAATGGTAATGTCACAGAGCATTGTGCCACAGAACAATGGTAATGTCACAGAACAATGGTAATGTCACAGAGCATTGTGCCACAGAACAATGGTAATGTCATAGAACAATGGTAATGTCACAGAGCATTGTGCCACAGAACAATGGTAATGTCATAGAACAATGGTAATGTCACAGAACATTGTGCCACAGAACAATGGTAATGTCATAAAACAATGGTAATGTCACAGAACAATGCTAATGTCACAGAACATTGTGCCACAGAACAATGGTAATGGCATAGAACAATGCTAATGTCACAGAACAATGCTAATGTAACAGAACATTGTGCCACAGAACAATGGTAATGGCATAGAACAATGCTAATGTCACAGAACAATGCTAATGTCACAGAACATTGTGCCAAAGAACAATGGTAATGTCACGGAACAATGGTAATGTCTCAGAACAATGGTAATGTCACAGAGCATTTTGTCACAGAACAATGGTAATGTCATAGAACATTGTGCCACAGAACAATGGTAATGTCACAGAACATTGTGCCACAGAACAATGGTAATGTCACAAAACAATGGTAATGTCACAGAACATTGCACCACAGAACAATGGTAATGTCACAGAACATTGTGCCACAGAACAATGGTAATGTCAGAGGACAGTGGTAATGTCACAGAGCATTGTGTCACAGAACAATGGTAATTTCACAGAACATTGTGCCACAGAACGATGGTAATGTCACAGAACATTGTGTCACAGAACATTGCGCCACAGAACAATGACACAAAACACTGTGGCACAATGGCCTCTGTGGGCCGGAGCAGTAGATGACAGACGGCGGCTTACACCAGGTGACAGACCATCAGATCCTCTCTCTTCCACGCCACAACAACTGAGATCAACATGATATACCAGATAACTGTTTCCAAGAACATTTTGATCAAAGAGCTGCCCAAACAATTAAAAACATAAAAATTCAACAAATAATAAACATGGTGAACCTTGTACAATGAATGCCTGTCCAATGTGACCATAACGTACAACCTTCACCTGTGGAATACATCTAACGTGGAGAATAAGACAAGCTTAGATCCTCAAAGCATGTAGCAATCTGTATCTCCTTTCATGTCACAACATAAGACCTGCTGGGCTGGTTCCAGATTGGTTATCTCTGCTACATGCAGGTGTACTCGCTACATTTAAGTGTACTCGTGACATAAAGGTGTACTCATTACATGTAGATGTACTCGTTACATGTAGGTGTACTTGCTACATATCAGTGTACTCGTTACATGTAGGTGTACTCGCTACATATCAGTGTACTTGTTACATAAAGGTGTACTCATTACATGTAGGTGTACTCGCTTCATGTAGGTGTACTCGCTTATGTAGGTGTACTTGCAACATAAAGATGTACTCACTACATATAAGTGTACTCATTACATAAAGGTATACTCATTACATGTAGGTGTACTCAATACATGTAGGTGTACTTGCAACAGAAAGGTGTACTCACTACATGTAGGTGTACTCGCTACATGTAGGTTTACTCATTACATGTAGGTGTACTCGTTACATGTATGTGTACTCGCTACATATAAGTGTACTCGTTACATGTAGGTGTACTCATAACATGTAGGTGTACTCGTTACATGTAGGTGTACTTGCAACATAAAGGTGTACTCACTACATGTAGGTGTACTCGCTACATGTAGGTGTACTCATTACATGTAGGTGTACTCGTTACATGTATGTGTACTCGCTACATATAAGTGTACTCGTTACATAAAGGTGTACTCATTACATGTGGCCGTACTCATTACATGTAGGTGTACTCGTTACATGTAGGTGTAATCCTTAAATGTAGGTGTACATGCTACATGTAGGTGTACTCACTACATATAGGTGTACTGGTTACATGTAGGTGTACTCTTTACATGTAGGTGTACATGCTATATGTAGGTGTACTCATTCCATGTAGGTGTACTCACTCCATGCAGGTGTACTGGATACATGAAGGTGTACTCTTTACATGTAGGTGTACATGCTTCATGTAGGTGTACTTGCTACATGTAGGTGTCCTCGTTACATGTAGCTGTACTCGATACATAAAGGTGTACTCATTACATGTAGGTGTACTCGTTACATGTAGGTGTACTCGCTTCATGTAGGTGTACTTGCTACATGTAGGTGTCTTCGTTACATGTAGCTGTACTCGATACATAAAGGTGTACTCATTACATGTAGGTGTACTCGTTACATGTAGGTGTACTCTTTACATGTAGGTGTACATGCTTCATGTAGGTGTACTTGCTACATGTAGGTGTCCTCGTTACATGTAGCTGTACTCGATACATAAAGGTGTACTCATTACATGTAGGTGTACTCGTTACATGTAGGTGTACTCTTTCCATGTAGGTGTCCTCGCAAATGTAGGTGTCCTTGCTACATGTAGGTGTACTCGCTACATGTAGGTGTACTTGCTGCATGTAGGTGTACTCGCTACATATAGATGTACTCGTTACATGTAGGTGTCCTTGCTACATGTAGGTGTACTCGCTACATTTTGTTGTACTCGATACATATAGGTGTACTTGATACATGCAGGTGTACTCGTTACATGTAGGTGTACTTGCTACATGTAGGTGTACTCGATACATATAGGTGTACTTGATACATGCAGGTGTACTCATTATATGTAGGTGTACTGGGATGCTGGAGTGAGTGAGTGGAGTCTAACATGGGAGTCAGCAGCTACATGAACAATCCGATACATATGATCATGTGTATATGGATTGGTTACCATGGTAATAGCAGTCATTTGGAGTACAAAATGTTTGTAGACAAATATGCACTTCAAGTGATGCCGACACTTTCTGTATATAATGTAACTTATTACTTATTTATTATGTATAAACGGGCCACAGGGCCAACAAACATCTTGAATCTTGACTAACAGTCCTCAAACAATGAGTGAAAAGTAAGGAATATCATGTCAGGAACTCTACAGTAAACTCGATGTCCCCGTGTCTGTGTGTAGGTGAAGCAGCAGGTGGACAGCACGACAACAGCATTCTCTGAACCCTCCACTTTCATGTGTCAACATTTTCTTGTTAACTTTGTGCCAAATTATCCCAAATCTATAACCATGTGTAGGCATTTCAACTAAGGCCAGATGTTTGTATTTCTTGGATTCCAGATTTCTGTGGAGAAAACCCTGGATGGTCAAACGAAAAAAAAGACATTTCAATTTCTTAATTGTTCTTGAAAGTATTGTTTTCCATAAAGGTATGAATTTGTCCAGTAGGGGCGACTGGTTGTCTCTAGACACACTAGACATACTTTGTGTACCAAGCTAGCTATTCAAAACCACCTGTACAACATATTGCATATATATGAAAGTAAACAATGTAATATAAAGTCATCAGAGCCAAATTCTATCCAGTGAAAGAAGCTTACTGTTGGCTTCAGTATTGAATCACAGGGACAAGCTACATCTTGTACCTGGACCGAGACACGAGACAGGAGGAGGGCCCTGTTTGGCCAGCAGCATTGGTTTTCTCAGACAACTGAGTAAAACCTTTAGATATTGTTCTGAAAGTTATAAGATAGTTCACATAAATGTGAAACAGACTTTATTCACTTCAATAGTCGCATGTTTGGAACACTCAATACTTAACCAAACATAGAATGTGTCTAAAGGAGGGAATTTAGAGGTTTTCCGGAAATTCTTTTCTAATACTGGATCAGCTAGTCTTTGAACAACGCTGATTTTCAGATGAGATGTACATAGAAACAGTACATACCGGTACATATGGCACAAACTCACCTTGGTTCACAGGCTTGTTCATACTATTACCCCGTTCACACGCGCCGCTATACATGTGTGTATATGTGCATACTATTACCCCGTTCACACGCGCCGCGATACATGTGTGTATATGTGCATACTATTACCCCGTTCACACGCGCCGCGATACATGTGTGTATATGTGCATACTATTACCCCGTTCACACGCGCCGCTATACATGTGTGTATATGTGCATACTATTACCCCGTTCACATGCGCCGCGATACATGTGTGTATATGTGCATACTATTACCCCGTTCACACGCGCCGCGATACATGTGTGTATATGTGCATACTATTACCCCGTTCACACGCGCCGCGATACATGTGTGTATATGTGCATACTATTACCCCGTTCACACGCGCCGCTATACATGTGTGTATATGTGCATACTATTACCCCGTTCACATGCGCCGCGATACATGTGTGTATATGTGCATACTATTACCCCGTTCACACGCGCCGCGATACATGTGTGTATATGTGCATACTATTACCCCGTTCACACGCGCCGCGATACATGTGTGTATATGTGCATACTATTACCCCGTTCACACGCGCCGCTATACATGTGTGTATATGTGCATACTATTACCCCGTTCACATGCGCCGCGATACATGTGTGTATATGTGCATACTATTACCCCATTCACACGCGCCGCGATACATGTGTGTATATGTGCATACTATTACCCCGTTCACACGCGCCGCGATACATGTGTGTATATGTGCATACTATTACCCCGTTCACACGCGCCGCTATACATGTGTGTATATGTGCATACTATTACCCCGTTCACACGCGCCGCTATACATGTGTGTATATGTGCATACTATTACCCCGTTCACACGCGCCGCTATACATGTGTGTATATGTGCATACGTGTGTGGAAATACATACGTGAGTATACTTGTCATGTGAACGCTTTTACTAATGTGTGTATATTTACACCAGGAGCAAATTTGCATCATGTCTGGAGCAGGTGCAAATATAAATGTAAATTTGCACTGTGTGTGTATGTTGCAATGTGAATGTTTATGTTAATGTAAGAGGATGATCTAATTGATATCTGTTCTTTTGCAAACACCAAACAAATTGCCAACAGTTGCTAACTTTTATGTGTAAATACAGATTTGAGTGGACGGTGTTTTCTTCTGGTTTCAAGGAGTCATAATTAAATTTACGTTGTGTTCATTGAAATTCCTGTATTCTGATTAGCTGAATTGGTCACGTGTTATTGCATTCATTTCCCAATCGAAAAACCAATGTGCAAACTTTTGTAAGAATCCGCTACGCGGATTCATACAGTTTGCACATTGGTTTTTCGATTCATACCTCAATGAACCGAAAAAAATACACAGTCAATCCTTAAAGAATTTTGTGTATAAATTAAATCATACACGTTGCTTCTTGCGAAAATTTTTGGTGAAGTAACTCTCTTCTCATTGGAAAACAACCTGTTTTGTGTTGAAAGTCGTGAACAGACTGATGACTATGTGTGCCTTACACAATTTACATACTTTATTTACACACCTAAGATGCTTTTCATGTGAACGCATAATAAATTTACATATTCACATATTACACATGTGTAAAATTACTGATGTGAGTAAATGTTGGGCATGTGAACGGGGCGTCAGAACAATAAGAGCTGTTCCCTGAACACATCTGACAATTGGGAAAACCTCTATTTCAATCCTTCTAAAAGTTATTACTGCCTAGAGATCACATAGCAAACCAATATTCTTTTACTTATCTGCACAAAAAAGGCAAATTGCTCATTCAGAAGAAACCTTCATAATAAAACAAGATATCTGACACAAAAAAAGAAATATCAAAACCCATGATTTGACAAAAACTTCAGAAAGACCGCCATCGGCAACACCCTGGCTGAAACTATCACTATAAATGTACAGGGAATGTTCCTGAATGGTAGATACGGTTCTCCAGTGCAGACAGAAAGGTTCTGTGTGAGTCCGGGTAATATATATATACTTCCTATTATTTCCTATAGTGACACCTCAATCAAAGAGGACGGCACAGACAGCCACTAGCGCCACCTAGTGGTAGAATCAGTCATCTGGAGGAAGGGCATCTGGGTGGACGAACTTACAAAGGTCAAGGTCATCTGCTACAAACCGCACCTTGCTGGCGGTGACATCATTCAGCCTGAATAAAAGTAAAAAAAGTCATGCGATACCATGGCAACAAATCTGGGATACATAAGTATCTCCAAGAGATCTTGAATTAGGTCATCATGGCAGACAGAAACTCTAAAATTGTATTAATGTTGCTATGTCAACATAAAAATGTTAGGTATTGACATATCTCAAGAAACAGCTTATGTGATAGTGACCATGACAACACAATCAATTGAGAAATCGATACATCTCAGGAAGACTGTATGGGATAATTACCATGACAACAAGAAAGTTATATAGTAGTACTCTTAAGGGGACAAATTGGGCCTATACACATTTTTATACAAACCTTTTTTTGAAACTGTAAGTTACATGTGTCAACATGTGAAGTCCTATACTAATCCACACCATCGGCTCTCTCGCATGTGACTACCAGTCAGATGTGACTGGCAAGCCTGACAGATGACTCACATGTGACAAACCAGTCTGACAGATGACTCACATGTGACTGGCCAGCCTGACAGATGACTCACATATGACTAGCCAGTCAGACAGATGACTCTCTTGTGACTAGCAAGCCTGACAGATGACTCACATGTGACTAGCCAGCCTGACAGATGACTCACATATGACTAGCCAGTCAGACAGATGACTCACATGTGACTAGCCAGCCTGACAGATGACTCACATGTGACTAACCAGCCTGACAGATGACTCACATGTGACTGGACAGCCTGACAGATGACTCACATGTAACTAGCCAGTCAGACAGATGACTCACATATGACTAGCCAGTCTGACAGATGACTCACATGTGACTAACCAGCCTGACAGATGACTCACATGTGACTAGCCAGCCTGACAGATGACTCACATGTGACTAACCAGTCAGTCAGATGACTCACATGTGACTAGTCATGTGACAGTCGTCACAGCAACACATTACATATCATGGTCGTATAGTCCATGTGACAGTCGTCATAGCAACATGTTACACATCACAGTCGTATAGCCCATTTGACTGTCACCATAGCTACACAAAAATGTTACATACCATGGTCCTATAGCCTATGTGACTGTTGCCATAGCTACACAAGAATGTTACATACCATGGTCCTATAGCCCATGTGACTGTTGCCATAGCTACACAAGAATGTTACATACCATGGTCGTATAGTTCATATGACAGTCGTCACAGCAACATGTTACACATCACAGTCGTATAGCCCATTTGACTGTCACCATAGCTACACAAGAATGTTACATACCATGGTCCTATAGCCCATTTGACTGTCACCATAGCTACACAAGAATGTTACATACCATGGTCGTATAGCCCATGTGACTGTTGCCATAGCTACACAAGAATGTTACATACCATGGTCCTATAGCCTATGTGACTGTTGCCATAGCTACACAAGAATGTTACATACCATGGTCCTATAGCCTATGTGACTGTTGCCATAGCTACACAAGAATGTTACATACCATGGTCCTATAGCCCATGTGACTGTTGCCATAGCTACACAAGAATGTTACATACCATGGTCCTATAGCCAATGTGACTGTTGCCATAGCTACACAAGAATGTTACATACCATGGTCGTATAGTTCATATGACAGTCGTCACAGCAACACGTTACATATCACGGTCATATAGCCCATGTGACTGTCGTCATAGCAACACGTTACATACCACGGTTGTATAGCCCATGTGACTGTCGTCATGGCAACACGTTACATACCACGGTCATATAGCCCATGTGACTGTCGTCATAGCAACACGTTACATACCACGGTCGTATAGCCCATGTGACTGTCGTCATAGCAACACGTTACATACCACGGTCGTATAGCCCATGTGACTGTTGTCATAGCAACACGTTACATACCACGGCTGTATAGCCCATGTGACTGTCGTCATAGCAACACGTTACATACCATGGTCGTATAGCAGCCCAGCAGCCTGAGAACATCATGGGGGAGTTGATGATGAGGCAGACGCCGAGACGCTCGGGGTAGTTCTTGCTGAGGAGCCAGATGAGGTTCTTGATGAACTGGTAGTCCATGCAGCTGAGGGTGAAGCCCTTGAGGTCGAAGATGATGCACAGACTGTCAATGACATCCTCATTACACTTGTTACAGGCTGTTTCCTGGAAACACACACATGCTGCACATTGCTATTGTTGTTGTCTTATGTCCTGGAAACACACACATGCTGCACATTGCTATTGTTGTTGTCTTATGTCCTGGAAACACACACATGCTGCACATTGATATTGTTGTTGTTTTAAGTCAAGTCAGCAACATCCCAGATTTCCCACAGTGACCTTGGCTGATATGAGCCATATCCCACACCGTCGGGAAACACTGACACCATCAACCACCAACCCTTATCACCTGATCCAGGAGCTGGGGCCTCGTCTGTGTCGCTCCCGTCGGCTACATTCATTTCTGAACAAACCACAAATCCCTTCAAGTAATCATATAAAATCTCTGATGTAAGCAGAGTCCATTGTACAATTCCCACTGTGTCATAAACAGGGGATGAGGACTAACTACCAAGACTCATAACACCAGGTGTTCGTGCAGAGGTGGGTGTATCCTATCACAAACACATGCAAAGCCAAGTCAATTATTTACCTGAACCCACAAGTGATAGAAGTTGCAATAGGGAAAATGCGTCGGACGTCATTCTTGTCACTGTTGAGCCAAATTTGGAAATGTCCTCCACATGTCTAATACAAAACATTTTGAAAGCTTTACTGAGACCTTGAATGCTCTAACCCTGAACAACTTTTGACCAATCAGGTGTAGGAATTACAACATCTATTGTCCTAATCTCAATCGCATCAGAAGAAAATCATCCTGTATTAAGTGATATAACATTGAGAACACTTCACACATACAGGGTCGCTTGTTGTGTTCCACAAGCTGAACCAACCGACCTTGTGTTTGGTGGAAACGCAGGAAACTGCAATGTGAGGATGAACAAGGGGTCATACGTACCAGGATGTAGACGATGAATCGTGTAAACTTGTCAATGTCTCTCTCGTACACATTGTGTTTCCTGGCAGCGACATGCACAACAGGTCTGAAACACAATCCACAATGTGACATGTATATGAGTGAGATGGGTCAACACAGCCTTGAACACTATGTCACAGTGTGACATGTATATGAGTGAGATGGGTCAACACAGCCTTGAACACTATGTCACAGTGTGACATGTATATGAGTGAGATGGGTCAACACAGCCTTGAACACTATGTCACAGTGTGACATGTATATGAGTGAGATGGGTCAACACGGCCTTGAACACTATGTCACAGTGTGACATGTATATGAGTGAGATGGGTCAACACAGCCTTGAACACTATGTCACAGTGTCAGATCGACGCAGGAGGAAAGCCCAAGTGATGCAGGTCTAGAGGTTTACCAACAGAAAACAGTGTCATCACCATCTCCTGCCATGGGGCACATTACAATTTTGTTTGTTTATATAGCAGTGAATATAAACTATAAAAAAAGAGTCCTTTAACGCTTCAAGAAAAAATAGGCACTTGGGACACTTTATGTCATCAGAAAAAATTATTAAATGTGAAATTAATACACACAAAAGGTTTCTTCTTTGGAAAAAATAACTAAGTCTTGATGCGTATCTCTTTGAATAGCAAACTTGCACAAAGTATAATAAAATGGATCAAGGTCCGTAAAGAAATAATTTACCAATTTTCGAACTTAGTCTTGCATAAAACTTTTATTCAAGTAACTTGAGTAGTTTCAGGAAAATGTTGTCCCCACTTCATGCAGTATTCACTAAGTTGTCCCCACTTCATGCAGTATTCACTAAGTTGTCCCCACTTCATGCAGTATTCACTAAGTTGTTCCCACTTCATGCAGTATTCACTAAGTTGTCCCCACTTCATGCAGTATTCACTAAGTTGTCCCCACTTCATGCAGTATTCATTAAGTTTTCCCAACTTCATGCAGTATTCACTAAGTTGTCCACACTTCATGCATTATTCATTAAGTTGTCCCCACTTCATGTAGTATTCACTAAGTTGTCCCCACTTCATGCAGTATTCACTAAGTTGTCCCCACTTCATGCAGTATTCACTAAGTTGTCCCCACTTCATGCAGTATTCACTAAGTTGTCCCCACTTCCTGCAGTATTCACTAAGTTTTCCCAACTTCATGCAGTATTCACTAAGTTTTCCCAACTTCATGCATTATTCACTAAGTTGTCCCCACTTCATGCAGTATTCACTAAGTTGTCCCCACTTCATGCAGTATTCACTAAGTTGTCCACACTTCATGCAGTATTCACTAAGTTGTCCCCACTTCATGTATTATTCACTAAGTTGTCCCCACTTCATGCAGTATTCACTAAGTTGTCCCCACTTCATGCAGTATTCATTAAGTTTTCCCAACTTCATGCAGTATTCACTAAGTTGTCCACACTTCATGCATTATTCATTAAGTTGTCCCCACTTCATGTAGTATTCACTAAGTTGTCCCCACTTCATGCAGTATTCACTAAGTTGTCCCCACTTCATGCAGTATTCACTAAGTTGTCCCCACTTCATGCAGTATTCACTAAGTTGTCCCCACTTCCTGCAGTATTCACTAAGTTTTCCCAACTTCATGCAGTATTCACTAAGTTTTCCCAACTTCATGCATTATTCACTAAGTTGTCCCCACTTCATGCAGTATTCACTAAGTTGTCCCCACTTCATGCAGTATTCACTAAGTTGTCCCCACTTCATGCAGTATTCACTAAGTTGTCCCCACTTCATGTATTATTCACTAAGTTGTCCCCACTTCATGCAGTATTCACTAAGTTGTCCCCACTTCATGCAGTATTCACTAAGTTGAAAAGCACGAAGCAAAGGGCCATAACTCTGTAAAATAAAATGAATTTACGACACTAATTTTCAAACACATTTGAGATCCTGACCAGTAACATCCATGTGTAAAGTTTCATTTTTCTGACGTTCCTTCTTCCTCACACATCACACTGTCACACATCACATTGTCACACATCACACTGTCACACGTCACACTGTCACAAATCATACTGTCACACATCACACGGTCACACATCACACGGTCACACATCACATTGTCACACATCACACTGTCAAAAATCACACTGTCACACATCACATTGTCACACATCACGCATCACACGGTACAAATCACACTGTCACACATCACACAGTCACACATCACCCTGTCACACATCACACTGTCACACATCACCCTGTCACACATCACACTGTCACACATCACACTTCAAACTGTCACACATCACACTGTTACACATCACACTGTCACACATCACACTGTCACACATCACATAGTCACACATCACACTGTCACACAGTCACACATCACATTGTCACACATCACAGTGTCACATTGTCACACATCACACTGTCACACATCACACTGTCACACATCACACTGTCACACATCACACTGTCACACATCACACTGTCACATTGTCACACATCACACTGTCACATTGTCACACATCACACTGTCACATTGTCACACATCACACTGTCACATTGTCACACATCACACTGTTACACTGTCACACATCACACTGTCACACATCACACTGTCACATTGTCACACATCACACTCACATTGTCACACATCACACTGTCACACATCACAGTGTCACACTGTCACACATCACACTGTCACATTGTCACACATCACACTGTCACACATCACACTGTCACACATCACACTGTCACATTGTCACACTGTCACATTGTCACACATCACACTGTTACACTGTCACACATCACACTGTCACACATCACACTGTCACATTGTCACACATCACACTCACATTGTCACACATCACACTGTCACACATCACACTGTCACATTGTCACACATCACACTGTCACATTGTCACACATCACATTGTCACACATCACACTGTCACACTGTCACACATCACACTGTCACACATCACACTGTCACATATCACACTGTCACATTGTCACACATCACCCTGTCACACATCACATAGTCACACATCACACTGTCACACTGTCACACATCACACTGTCACACATCACATTGTCACACATCACACTGTCACATTGTCACACATCACACTGTCACATTGTCACACATCACATTGTCACACATCACACTGTCACACATCACAGTGTCACACATCACACTGTCACACATCACACTGTCACATTGTCACACATCACACTGTCACATTGTCACACTGTCACATTGTCACACATCACACTGTCACATTGTCACACATCACACTGTCACATTGTCACACATCACACTGTCACATTGTCACACATCACATTGTCACATTGTCACACATCACACTGTCACACATCACACTGTCACACATCACACTGTCACACATCACATTGTCACACATCACACTGTCACACATCACATTGTCACACATCACATTGTCACACATCACACTGTCACACATCACATTGTCACACATCACACTGTCACACATCACATTGTCACACATCACACTGTCACACTGTCACACATCACACTGTCACACATCACACTGTCACACATCACATTGTCACACATCACACTGTCACACTGTCACTTATTACATTGGTCTACCCCTTACTGCAGAACTATAACTGATAATATATACTCAACAACAAAAGTTCCTGTGACACCAATATTTTAGTGTATTTTTCAAACAAGTAAAGTTTGGTTTTCAATATTGAAGAACATATATGGAATCAAGTCACAAAAAAGGCAACTGCTACAGAAAAGCATGCATTCCATGCAAAAGTTGACTTTTATGCAAGCCCCATGCATTTCACTACCCAAGAAAGGGTATCAAAACATGTGAGTTAACGGGATTCCATATGCATTGTTTAGCATCGTGCTGACAACAACCACTCAGAAAAACAACAAAATTACGCAATTATTCAACATTACGAAATGCCATTGGTATGCTTGAAGCAGGATCGAGTGATGTTGCAAGACAATTTAACGTCCACAGAAACACCATTTGGTGTTTATGGCAACGTTGGCAACAGACGAATGCAGTCAGAGACCATCCTCAGAGTGGCAGGCCACATGTAACCAATAATCGACAAGACAACTGGATTTGAACTACACACCTACGAAATTGATTCCAGCCGTAAACAGTGACTGCAAGAAGCATCCCTGGCCTTTGACGAATATCTTCACAAACCGTACGTCACCGCCTCAGATGTGCAGGGATTGTCGCCAGAAGACCCGCCAGACGTCCCATTTTGACAGGAAACCACCATCAAGCACGTCTACAGTGGTGCAGACAGCGTCTACGCTGGACGGCCATGCAGTGGGGACAAGTTCTATCGTTTTCACCTCAGCCACAGCGATGGACGGATTCGAGTGTACCGACATCGAGGTGAACTTTACGTCAATCATTGTGTCATGGATGAAGATCGGTTCGGGGGCGGCAGCGTTATGGTATGGGGTGTGATTACAGCAAGACAGAGGACCCGTTTGATAGTGGTAGAGGGAAATCTCAATGGATAGCGCTCCCGCGACAAGATCATCGGACCTGTTGTTCTACAATTTTTGTGTCGTCACGGCCCAGGCATTACCTTTCAACATGACAACGCCCGGCCTCATATTGCTCGACTTGTTCAGGATTCTCTTCAACAAAACAACATGAATGTCATCCCCTGGCCGGCTCGCTCCCCTGATCTCTCACCAATCGAGCACATGTGGGATGAGATGGATCGGCGCCTTCGAGGTCAACCATGTAATCCACAGACACTCCAGGAACTTCGAAACATGCTCTAGCAGATATGGACAGATATCCCACAGGACTTTGTGCGACGCCTGGTCCATTCCATGAGACGAAGATGTGTTGCTTGCATCACAACCAGAGGTGGACACACACGCTATTGATTTGTAAATTGACATTTAGGCATGTTCATGTTTTTATGAAATCACGCATTTTCTGAAGTCAGTATGGCAAATTAAACCATTTGAACACTTACAGGAGTCTTTTATCTGTAAAAAACATAACTTCCAATTAAATCTTATTCAATGTCACAGGAACTTTTGTTGTTCAGTATATATTGTCCCTTTCATCAAATCATTCAAACCAATGAAGTATTTCTTTGATCAGAGAATCTTCGTAAACCTGCAAATAATACAAGAAGACAGTTCAAATCTTCAACCACTATCTCTGCTGTAAGACAAAAGGACATCACCGACACCAGAAGCTGCTTACCTCCCCTTGGAGTCTCTCTGTCGCAGGATGTGCACTTTGCCTGCGGCGAGTTCATTCATGACATCTTCATCCTCCGGTGTCAGTTTCGCCACGCCAAACTCTCGGCGCCACTTATTGCACTTCAACAACTGCTTGAACGCAACATCAACGTCGCCAAAAGCTTTCAGGAACCGTCGTAATGAGGAGTCTGTGTGAGCCTGGGGAAACATGGGCTCAAGTTACCTCTCTAATGATGAACTGCAAACTATAGCCCCTATGTTGACAGCTGGGCAGATATAAAGTATACACAGAAGGGTGTGTATAAAGTATAAATGGAAGGGTGGATATAAAGTATAAACAGAAGGGTGGATATAAAGTATAAACAGAAGGGTGGATATAAAGCATAAACAGAAGACCGGGTATAAAGTATAAACAGAAGGGTGGATATAAAGTATAAACAGAAGGGTGGATATAAAGTATAAACAGAAGGGTGGATATAAAGTATAAACAGAAGGGCAGATAAAAAGTATAAACAGAAGGGTGGATATAAAGTATAAACAGAAGGGTGGATATAAAGTATAAACAAAAGGGCAGATATAAAGTATAAACAGAAGGGTGGATATAAAGTATAAACAGAAGGGTGGATATAAAGTATAAACAGAAGGGTGGATATAAAGTATAAACAGAAGGGTGGATATAAAGTATAAACAGAAGGGTGGATATAAAGTATAAACAGAAGGGTGGATAAAAATTATAAACAGAAGGGCAGATATGAAGTATAAACAGAAGGGTGGATATAAAGTATAAACAGAAGTGTGGATATAAAGTATAAACAGAAGGGTGGATATAAAGTATAAACAGAAGGGTGGATATAAAGTATAAACAGAAGGGTGGATATAAAGTATAAACAGAAGGGTGGATAAAAATTATAAACAGAAGGGCAGATATAAAGTATAAACAGAAGGGTGGATATAAAGTATAAACAGAAGTGTGGATATAAAGTATAAACAGAAGGTTGGATATAAAGTATAAACAGAAGGGTGGATATAAAGTATAAACAGAAGGGTGGACATAAAGTATAAACAAAAGGGTGGACATAAAGGGTTTGGCAGTGGGGAAGATATAAGAGATAACACAGATTGGCAGTAGGGAAGATATAAGAGATAACTCAGATTGGCAGTAGGGAAGATGTAAGAGATACCTCAGATTGGCACTAGGGAAGATATAAGAGATAACACAGATTGGCACTGGGGAAGATATAAGAGATAACTCAGATTGGCAGTAGGGAAGATATAAGAGATAACTCAGATCGGCACTGGGGAAAACATGGCACTGGGGAAGATATAAGAGATAACTCAGATTGGCAGTAGGGAAGATATAAGAGATACCTCAGATTGGCACTAGGGAAGATATGAGATAACTCAGATCGGCACTGGGGAAAACATGGCACTGGGGAAGATATAAGAGATAACTCAGATTGGCACTAGGGAAGATATGAGATAACTCAGATCGGCACTGGGGAAAACATGGCACTGGGGAGGATATAAGAGATAACTCAGATTGGCAGTAGGGAAGATATAAGAGATACCTCAGATTGGCACTAGGGAAGATATGAGATAACTCAGATCGGCACTGGGGAAAACATGGCACTGGGGAAGATATAAGAGATAACTCAGATTGGCACTAGGGAAGATATGAGATAACTCAGATCGGCACTGGGGAAAACATGGCACTGGGGAGGATATAAGAGATAACTCAGATTGGCAGTAGGGAAGATATAAGAGATACCTCAGATTGGCACTAGGGAAGATATGAGATAACTCAGATCGGCACTGGGGAAAACATGGCACTGGGGAAGATATAAGAGATAACTCAGATTGGCACTAGGGAAGATATGAGATAACTCAGATCGGCACTGGGGAAAACATGGCACTGGGGAGGATATAAGAGATAACTCAGATTGGCAGTAGGGAAGATGTAAGAGATACCTCAGATTGGCAGTAGGGAAGACATAAGAGATACCTCAGATTGGCACTAGGGAAGATATGAGATAACTCAGATCGGCACTGGGGAAAACATGGCACTGGGGAGGATATAAGAGATAACTCAGATTGGCAGTAGGGAAGATATAAGAGATACCTCAGATTGGCACTAGGGAAGATATGAGATAACTCAGATCGGCACTGGGGAAAACATGGCACTGGGGAAGATATAAGAGATAACACAGATTGGTACTAGGGAAGAAATGAGATAACTGAGATTGGCAGTAGGGAAGATATAAGAGAAAACTCAGATTGGCACTGGGGAAGATATAAGAGATAACACAGATTGGCAGCAGGGAAGATATAAGAGATAACTCAGATTGGCAGTAGGGAAGATATAAGAGATAACACAGATTGGCACTGGGGAAGATATGAGATAACTCAGATTGGCACTTGGGAAGACATAAGAGATAACACAGATTGGCACTACGGAATATATGAGAGATAACACAGATTGGCACTGGGGAAGATATAAGAGATAACACAGATTGGCACTAGGGAAGATATGAGATAACTCAGATCGGCACTGGGGAAAACATGGCACTGGGGAAGATATAAGAGATAACTCAGATTGGCACTAGGGAAGATATGAGATAACTCAGATCGGCACTGGGGAAAACATGGCACTGGGGAGGATATAAGAGATAACTCAGATTGGCAGTAGGGAAGATATAAGAGATACCTCAGATTGGCACTAGGGAAGATATGAGATAACTCAGATCGGCACTGGGGAAAACATGGCACTGGGGAAGATATAAGAGATAACTCAGATTGGCACTAGGGAAGATATGAGATAACTCAGATCGGCACTGGGGAAAACATGGCACTGGGGAGGATATAAGAGATAACTCAGATTGGCAGTAGGGAAGATATAAGAGATACCTCAGATTGGCACTAGGGAAGATATGAGATAACTCAGATCGGCACTGGGGAAAACATGGCACTGGGGAAGATATAAGAGATAACTCAGATTGGCACTAGGGAAGATATGAGATAACTCAGATCGGCACTGGGGAAAACATGGCACTGGGGAGGATATAAGAGATAACTCAGATTGGCAGTAGGGAAGATGTAAGAGATACCTCAGATTGGCAGTAGGGAAGACATAAGAGATACCTCAGATTGGCACTAGGGAAGATATGAGATAACTCAGATCGGCACTGGGGAAAACATGGCACTGGGGAGGATATAAGAGATAACTCAGATTGGCAGTAGGGAAGATATAAGAGATACCTCAGATTGGCACTAGGGAAGATATGAGATAACTCAGATCGGCACTGGGGAAAACATGGCACTGGGGAAGATATAAGAGATAACACAGATTGGTACTAGGGAAGAAATGAGATAACTGAGATTGGCAGTAGGGAAGATATAAGAGAAAACTCAGATTGGCACTGGGGAAGATATAAGAGATAACACAGATTGGCAGCAGGGAAGATATAAGAGATAACTCAGATTGGCAGTAGGGAAGATATAAGAGATAACACAGATTGGCACTGGGGAAGATATGAGATAACTCAGATTGGCACTTGGGAAGACATAAGAGATAACACAGATTGGCACTACGGAATATATGAGAGATAACACAGATTGGCACTGGGGAAGATATAAGAGATAACACAGATTGGCACTGGGGAAGATATAAGAGATAACACAGATTGGCACTGGGGAAGACATAAGTGATAACTCAGATTGGCAGTAGGGAAGATATAAGAGATAACAGAGATTGGCACTGGGGAAGATATAAGAGATAACACAGATTGGCACTGGGAAAGATATGAGAGATAACACAGATTGGCACTAGGGAAGATATGAGAGATAACACAGATTGGCACTAGGGAAGATATGAGAGATAACACAGATTGGCACTGGGGAAGACATAAGAGATAACTCAGATTGGCACTACGGAAGATATAAGAGATAACACAGATTGGCACTGGGGAAGATATAAGAGATAACACAGATTTGCACTGGGGAAGATATAAGAGATAACACAGATTGGCACTGGGGAAGATATAAGAGATAACTCAGATTGGCAGTAGGGAAGATATAAGAGATAACTCAGATCGGCACTGGGGAAAACATGGCACTGGGGAAGATATAAGAGATAACACAGATTGGCAGTAGGGAAGATATAAGAGATAACTCAGATTGGCAGTGGGGATGTATTAATTTGGGACAGCTGAATAGATATTAAGGAGCAATAGGATAAAATGAACATGATCAAGGATAAAAGGAAGGACGGAGTGTTGGGCAGATTAAAGGGATTGACAGTCCTTCACTCAGATACAGTGTATAACAGTAGCATAGATATAAGGGTTCAGCTGAAGGCAACATACAGGTAAGATATAAGGCAGATACAAATTATCGACAATAAGGTCCATGTAAAGGATTGACAGTAGGGCAGATACAAAGGATCAACAATATAGTCTATGTAAAGGATTGACAGTAAGGCAGCTACAAAGGATCAATAATATAGTCTATGTAAAGGATTGACAGTAAGGCAGATACAAAGGATCAAAAATATAGTCTATGTAAAGGATTGACAGTAAGGCAGATACAAAGAATCAATAATATAGTCTATGTAAAGGATTGACAGTAAGGCAGATACAAAGGATCAAAAGAGAGTCCATGTAAAGGATTGTCAGTAAGGCAGATACAAAGGATCAAAAATAGAGTCCATGTAAAGGATTGACAGTAAGGCAGATACAAAGGATCAAAAATAGAGTCCATGTAAAGGATTGACAGTAAGGCAGATACAAAGGATCAAAAATAGAGTCCATGTAAAGGATTGAAAGTAAGGCAGATACAAAGGATCAATAATAGAGTCCATATGTACAGGATTGAGTAGTAAGGTAGATATGACATATGACCGACAATAAGGTCAATGTAAAGGATTGACAGTAAGGCACATACAAATTATCGACATGTAAAGAATTGACAGTAAGGCGGGTGCAAAGGATTAAACTTACCTGTGATGGATCTGCTTCAAACAGAATCTGAATACAAAATCAGAAGGTAACATATACTATAAGTGTTATAACTCTGGCCTATCAAAACAACAATTGACAACATATATGGTGGTTTGATCTCCGGACGCATCATACCAAACAACATTAAAAGATGGTTCGTTTTGTAACCCTGCCTTGCTCTCGGCATTAAAGGTCTAAAACAAGGACTGGTCAGCTCGATGTCAGTACACGGTGTCTTAGTGGCGTATTCATGTTAAACTGGTCAGCTCGATGTCAGTATACTGTTTCTTAGTGGGGTATTCATGTTAAACTGGTCAGCTCGATGTCAGTATACTGTGTCTTAGTGGGGTATTCATGTTAAACTGGTCAGCTCGATGTCAGTACACTGTGTCTAAGTGGGGTATTCATGTTAAACTGGTCAGCTCGATGTCAGTACACTGTGTCTAAGTGGGGTATTCATGTTAAACTGGTCAGCTCGATGTCAGTATACTGTGTCTAAGTGGGGTATTCATGTTAAACTGGTCAGCTCGATGTCAGTACACTGTGTCTTAGTGGGGTATTCATGTTAAACTGGTCAGCTCGATGTCCGTATACTGTTTCTTAGTGGGGTATTCATGTTAAACTGGTCAGCTCGATGTCAGTACACGGTGTCTTAGTGGGGTATTCATGTTAAACTGGTCAGCTCAATGTCAATACACGGTGTCTTAGTGGGGTATTCATGTTAAACTGGTCAGCTCGATGTCAGTACACTGTGTCTTAGTGGGGTATTCATGTTAAACTGGTCAGCTCGATGTCAGTACACTGTGTCTTAGTGGGGTATTCATGTTAAACTGGTCAGCTCGATGTCAGTACACTGTGTCTAAGTGGGGTATTCATGTTAAACTGGTCAGCTCGATGTCAGTACACTGTGTCTTAGTGGGGTATTCATGTTAAACTGGTCAGCTCGATGTCAGTACACTGTGTCTTAGTGGGGTATTCATGTTAAACTGGTCAGCTCGATGTCAGTACACTGTGTCTAAGTGGGGTATTCATGTTAAACTGGTCAGCTCGATGTCAGTACACTGTGTCTTAGTGGGGTATTCATGTTAAACTGGTCAGCTCGATGTCAGTACACTGTGTCTTAGTGGGGTATTCATGTTAAACTGCAACATGGTGCCACAGTGGGCTAGCGCTAATACAACAACATTAGTGCCGGGTAATACAAGCACACACACACACATTCCTGATCACATGACACGCTGAAGTTTATGTTTTTCTCTCAGAGTAGATCCAAACATATGTTGGTTCACATCACATAGAAAAGTCCAGACAACTCAGCCCCCTCCCCTCCCCCCAAGATCCCACACATCATTCTCACACCATTGTGTGCAACAGGGGTCCGGAAATTTTAAAATCCCAATCGGACATTTGCATTTAGGCCACGCCCCCTTCAAATAGCGTATTTTAGTACGACTTTTCACACACATTACAAGTTTACGTATTCATAATATGATGAATTATGAATTGTTTCAATTTAAATTGTTTAATTCACCGGACAATTAATAACAAATAATATCATTTTAGATTTACATGGAAACGTTTGTTTCTGTTATAACAACGATCTGTTAACGTAGTGAACGGTCTAATTAATATTCATGAGTTATATTCATGAGTCTGCTCAAGTGTACGCGTTGTAACATTTGGATCGAGACTATTATCCCATATTTGGTTATCACGTGACTTCACGGGAAAAGTTTTTTTTTAAACTAAAGATTTTTTTAAAAACAAGACAGATAATTTAATCACAAATACTAAAATATCGTTGGTAGCAATAGTTATTTGAATACTTTTTTCATCTGTACTTAATTATTGACCATAAAAAAATTGGATATCGATCGTCCGAGAAAGCAAAATGGCGGTCAATCAAGATTCAATATACGACTAGCTACTGAAAACAATAAAATCTGCAAATCCTCATTGTATGTCAACCAAGTGAAAGTCGTTAGCCACGACTTACAAAATGATCGTCCAGACTTTGAGGGTTTGGCAGATCCGTTCGACTGATCTGCATCGGTCGACTGGCTGTCGTCACTCTTTCGTTTCTTGTCTGAGGTTACGCATCGTAGCATTGCGAGGATAATGAGGTACATCGATGATGCAAGGTATTAATGTACAGTTGTAAACACCTTTCACTCAAATTAACAAGATGTTCTCAGTAATTAATCCTCGGTTAATCAGTGTCAACTCAGTTTATTGCCTATTACAGTGATTGACCGATTGGACTATCATGTAGGTACGATGTATTTACAGCAATCAAAACAAACAAAGCTTGTCAGTGTAGTTAATCTTCATTGTGTTGCAACTGCAGACAGAAACTGCTCAGTCCTAACTGTTGATCATGTCCGGTCAAAATTTAAGAATGTCCGGACAATACTTTTTAAAATGTCCGGTAAGCAATATTTTAAAACGGACATTTGAGATTCCCAATAGGACATGTCCGGCGCATATGACGGTTTCCGGACCCCTGGTGTGCAACTCCTTTCAAGAACTACAACATTTCTCTGCATGGTTCAGTACGTTCAACTACATAGTAATTATTACAGCACAGCAGGAAACAGGTGCAAATACTACCTATACATGATTAGGGCCAGTCACCTGCGACGCTGGGACCACATTTCACATACTTCCCTTTTAAAATAAAGCATGGTCAGATGGGACAGATGGCTGAAGGTACTAAGTACATGTATTACATATCCACAGTAAGGGCTGACAAGCAGTAGGACAGGGCCCTGAAGCAGTATAACACTGCTATTACCATCAGCTGTGAGGATTATGTCCTGTCCAGTGGGAATAAGGCTAATTGAAGCAATACTTGCTAATTGATCTGATCTGTCCTGCCATGTTGGCCACAACCTATGTACAGAGAAGCCGTGGAGAGTGTGATGCCATCACAGTCGTCTGCCCCCAGACACTATGGCTGCCCCCAGACACTACGGCTGCACAGTGTTCTGGGGCAGCCCCCAGCACTGACAATGTCTACCTGCCCCATGCCTTGTTTCACTGTGAAAGACACATCAAATATTCTTTGTTTGTTTGTTTGTTTGTTTGTCGCCACACTCAGCATGGTTGTGGGGAGTCCGGGTTGGTTTTTGTTTTTTGTTTAACGCTGCCCCTCAGCAATATTCCAGCTATATGACAGTGGTCTGTAAATAATCAAGTGTGGACCAGACAATCCAGTAACTGACATCATGAGCATCGATCCACTCAATTGGAATTTCGATGACATACATCAATCAAGTCAGCAAGCCTGACAATCTGATCCCGTTAGTCGCCTCTTACGACAAGCAAAGTCGTCTGTTATGACATGCATAGTCGCCTGTTTCAGTTTCAGCACTGTTTCGTCACCCCTTCACAAATGCACTGTGCTCGTTGCTAACTCAGATTATTAAATGCATGTCCATGGCCATATCCCTCCTTGTCAGACTGGGCCTTGGCCACAGCCCTACTTGTCAGACTTGGCCTTGGCCACACCCCTACTTGTCAGACTGGGCCTTGGCCACACCCCTACTTGTCTGACTGGGCCTTGGCCACACCCCTACTTGTCAGACTGGGCCTTGGCCACAGCCCTACTTGTCTGACTGGGCCTTGGCCACACCCCTACTTGTCTGACTTGGCCTTGGCCACAGCCCTACTTGTCAGACTGGGCCTTGGCCACACCCCTACTTGTCAGACTGGGCCTTGGCCACACCCCTACTTGTCAGACTGGGCCTTGGCCACACCCCTACTTGTCAGACTGGGCCTTGGCCACACCCCTACTTGTCAGACTGGGCCTTGGTCACACCCCTACTTGTCAGACTGGGCCTTGGCCACACCCATACTTGTCAGACTGGGCCTTGGCCACACCCCTACTTGTCAGACTGGGCCTTGGTCACACCCCTACTTGTCAGACTGGGCCTTGGTCACACCCCTACTTGTCAGACTGGGCCTTGGCCACAATCCTACTTGTCAGACTGGGCCTTGGCCACACCCCTACTTGTCTGACTCGGCCTTGGTCACACCCCTTCTTGTCAGACTGGGCCTTGGCCACACCCCTACTTGTCTGACTGGGCCTTGGCCACACCCCTACTTGTCAGACTGGGCCTTGGCCACACCCCTACTTGTCAGACTGGGCCTTGGCCACACCCCTACTTGTCTGACTGGGCCTTGGCCACAGCCCTACTTGTCAGACTGGGCCTTGGCCACACCCCTACTTGTCAGACTGGGCCTTGGTCACACCCCTACTTGTCAGTCTGGCCCTTGGCCACAATCCTACTTGTCAGACTCGGCCTTGGTCACACCCCTTCTTGTCTGACTTGGCCTTGGTCACACCCCTACTTGTCTGACTTGGCCTTGGCCACACCCCTACTTGTCAGACTGGGCCTTGGCCACACCCCTACTTGTCAGACTTGGCCTTGGCCACAGCCCTACTTGTCTGACTGGGCCTTGGTCACACCCCTACTTGTCAGACTGGGCCTTGGTCACACCCCTACTTGTCAGACTGGGCCTTGGCCACAATCCTACTTGTCAGACTGGGCCTTGGCCACACCCCTACTTGTCTGACTCGGCCTTGGTCACACCCCTTCTTGTCAGACTGGGCCTTGGCCACACCCCTACTTGTCTGACTGGGCCTTGGCCACACCCCTACTTGTCAGACTGGGCCTTGGCCACACCCCTACTTGTCAGACTGGGCCTTGGCCACACCCCTACTTGTCAGTCTGGCCCTTGGCCACAATCCTACTTGTCAGACTCGGCCTTGGTCACACCCCTACTTGTCAGACTTGGCCTTGGTCACACCCCTACTTGTCTGACTTGGCCTTGGTCACACCCCTACTTGTCAGACTGGGCCTTGGCCACACCCCTACTTGTCAGACTGGGCCTTGGCCACACCCCTACTTGTCTGACTTGGCCTTGGCCACAGCCCTACTTGTCTGACTGGGCCTTGGCCACACCCCTACTTGTCTGACTTGGCCTTGGCCACACCCCTACTTGTCTGACTTGGCCTTGGCCAC